TACACTGGATTGCTTGGTTTGTTATGCTACAGGGCAGTGAGAAGTGTAAATAACACGTTACGATGAATGTGTTGACACCTGGAACCTCAGAGGCAGTTAGTACCTAGGTAGTACTGTGCGTCTCCTACACCGTATTCAACTTCACAGCACCAGAAATCGACTTGGCACCTCTGTACCCCAAAACCGCAGCCCTTCCTGGCACAGGAACCACAGGCAAGTCTTTATGAACACAAGCTCTCGCTGCTAGTCAAGCCAGGGGAGAGAGTTCACCAGCATCGTGGCACACATCAGCAGCATGCTACAAGACAAGCTTCCAATTTTAAGGGACACAGAAAGATGTTTTATATGCCTATAAGAAAATGAGTTGCAGCTTAGCACTTGACAAGTCACTCAGACTTCTTCACGATCCTTATCTAAATGGAGAAAATATTTTAAAGGCCATTTAGTGCAAGTAAAATGTACACAGCTTCCTCCTCAAGCTCTGCTCATTCTCCAATTAAATATGAAAGAGGCAACTTAGTCATATGAAGCGTGCGAGATGATTTTAAGACACTGGTATTAAATCAAATCCTACAACTTTTCACACCTATTAAAATGGAACTTTGTCATTAGAAGGGGAGATTTTGATAAGCACCATGTAATTAACAGACACCGCCTTTGTTACCAGGCTGCTCATGATGAAGCCCAGGCTCCTTGACATTCCATTTCTTTCCCTCAAAGGCTCTGTGCTACAGCAAATTTATGAGTTTTCAGCATGTAAGAGGAGAATTGGGCATGTTACCTTCAAAACCAGTCAATAAGGCTCTTTCAGTCAGGCCCAGGGAAGGCGGGTGACTGCTGGAAAGCAATACAAGGCGCTCCCTTCCCCCTCCCCTCCAGACCCAAAACCGCTGCATTCAAAACACTCCCATCCCCTGCAGCAAGGGATTAGCCATTTATTAAAAAGGAATCAAAACACTGTAAAAGGCTTCCAGTTAAGATTTCAAGGGGGGAGGGTGAAAAAAAAAAACAACACACAACAGAAAAAAACACCACCCCGCAACGCTGGTGCAACTGGAGTCGCATTAGGAATTCTTCTGGGCACTGAAGAACAAGTAGCTCAAACGTAAGCAGGATGTCATTTGTCCGGATGATGCTGATCAAATGGCTCAAAAGGAGAACAGAACCAGATTAATTTTTTTTAGTCAATCATTTTGCTGCCTCCACACTGAGCAGTAACAACATTAACTACCTACAGGCACTTATGGGTTTAGACTTTGGACTTCCTAAACAACTGCCTACCTCCACGGTTTGGGGTTTTTTTTGGCTCTTGTCTAGGGGTGACAGACAATTATAATGGTCAATTATGTAAAACCTTTCATCCAAGAAAACAAGAAATGCTGCGTAAACACTCATTAAGACTCACGACTCGAGTCTACACCAGGTGCTTAGCTGGTTCAAAGCTAGCCTGGATATCTCGAGCTACCAAAACTGGATAGCGAGAGCTATGGCATAGCCGAGATAGCATGCAGCACAGCAGGGTTAACCACTTGAGTATTTACACAGCTTCGCAGGCGGGTTTTACAACCCGCAACAAACCCAGAGCTGCTGTGGTTGGGCTTTACAGCCCCATCCAACCTGGTTATTTAAAAGCAGAGCAGAGAGATGAACGCTGCTGTTGGGTGTTGTACAAAGCACCTCGCAGGACAAGCATTAGATCCACTTCTCCGGCTGAAACAAGATTTTTTTTGCAACTGGAAGCCACACAGCTCAAGTCAATAACCTCGGTTTACTGAAGAAATTAAAAGCTACACTTACTGTTTCGAGTAAGGCCTTGGAGGAAGTAATTTTGAGAAGAAATCACTTCCACCACAATTGTACTTTTAACCTTTCCTTAGGTTCTTACACCATTCCCATGCGGACACATTATTAGCAGCGTTATCTATAATATCCAAGAAGGAATAAAGCTTTCTTTTTGGATTACTGTTTCTCGAGCTTCACAATCCTTCCTTCTGAAGGGTAGGGGGTAAACCGTGCAGAAAAACACTATCAGGAAGTGACAGTACCCAGAAGATCAAGATTTGGGGAAAAATATATATTATTTTTTAAAGAAAAACCCTACGTCCTTGCCCGCAGGCCCACGAAGAGCCCTCAAAAAGCAGCGGGGTCAGGACGCCCCCCACTCCTGCCGCCCCTCAGCCACGCGTGGGCCGATCACGTTATGCAACCGCCGCGGGGGGGGGGGGGGGGAGGAGAGATACTCCCGCACACGCCTGACCCGGGACCCGGCACCCACGGAGCCGTTCCCCCCCCCCCGCACCCCACCCCGGCCGCGGGCTCAGGCTGTCAGAGCCGCCGGGAAGGCCACGGGAAAGCTGCCGGGGGAGCGGGCACGACGCGGGGAGCGCTATAAAAGCATCCGGGGAGGCGGCCGCCTCCGACACCGCAGCGCCCCGGGCACGGGAGAAGGGTGCCGGCGCTTCGGAGGAACAGCGGGAATTCAATCAAATGAAACGAAACGCGAGAAGGCGGGGAAGCGAGGAGGCCCGGGGCCGCGCAGCCCCGTCCGGCGGGCGGCCAGCGGCCCCTCGACGGCCCCCGGAGCCGCCATGGCCGGGCCGGAGAGCGGGCGGTGCGTGCGGGGCCTGTTCACCGCCCACCTGCCGAACACGAACACGAATGGAGCGGCCGCTTAACCCCCCCCCCCCCCCCCCACACACACACACACACACACACACACCCCCAGCCGCGCCTCCGCCCCCGGCCCCACCGCAAGAAGCCTACCCGGTGCGGGGCCGGCCGCGCTCCCGCGGGCGATGGAGGGGGGCGTCCCGGCGGCGGCGGGGAGCAGCGCGGAGCCGCCAGGCTGGGCTCGGCGCGGCCGGATCCCCCCCCCCCCCCCACCTCCCCAACCCTCCGCCTACCCTCAACCCTCCGCCCCCCTCAGCCCTGCGCCCAGCCGCGGCGGCGGGAGGGGCCGCGCCAATCCGCACGCGGGGCGGGGCGGGGCGGGGCGGGGCCCGGTACCGCCGACCGCCCCCCCGCGCCGTGCCAGGCACCGGCCGCCCCGCCGAGCCGGGCGGGCACCGCCGAGCGCGGGGGCCCGGCTCGGGGCCTCTCGGTTCTCCTCCTCAGAGCGGGGCCGGGGAAGGGAGGGGAGCGGAGGGGGGTCCCGGCCAGGGAGGTTTCCAGGCAGAGCGCGGTGCTGGGGACCAGCAAAATCGAGGCCACCCCGTAGTCCCCCCAGCGCTGGCTGGCTGGCCCCCGTGTCGCCGGGCACGGAGCTTCCCGCCGGTGTGTGCCGGTTGTTGGTTTAGCCACCGACGTGGCGCTGAACGCGACGGGGGGGTACCAGCTCCCAGCCCGCTGGCGTGGCACCGGCAGCGTACGAGTGGCTTTAATACGGTGGTAACAGGCTAAAAGTCTACACAGTCCTCTGCAGGAGGCCAAAGACACTATTTTGATAGACCACCCGGCTTTAAAATCTACTTAACGCCTGACTGCAGGGCCAAAAGCTGCTGGGATGTTACTGGGAGCGGGAAGGGGTAGTCCGTCAGGGTACTGGAACCCCACCAGCGTGGTGTCAGCCTTGCCAGTCAGCCCGTTTCACCATCACAGTCGTTACATTTCCCCGGCGCAGTCACTAAATACCCTTTGCCGTCACCCGTGGGGAAGCTGCCCTCGACAGAGGAAAACGTGAGCTGCTGTTCCTGGTATAGATGTATCTTAGGAGGCACGGCTGCGCAGACCCTGGGCAGTGGCTCATCACGCAAGCATCACCCCAGCCATCTCCTTTGTGCCACCCTCGCGAAGCCCTCAGCCTGCCGAGAGAAAAAGACAGGCACCGGAGAAATTCTGTGAACCCAAAGGTATCGAGAACAAGAGTGAAATGCAAAAGGAAGGCATTGGGGAAAGGGGAATTAAGTGCTGGCACCAAATGGTAGCTTGAGCCTAAGGGGTTCCTGCAAGAAGGAGCCCTCCCCCTCTTCAAAAGAAGGCTTCAGGAGTTTGTTTCGGCTTAGAGGGAAGCGGGGAGGGATGCAGGTCCCCACCGAGGACCACAGATGACCCAGGGGGGGTGCAGGGCTGGCAAACTGAAAATGCCTGGTTTCTCTGACCTACAGGAAGGCAGCAGCCAAGACAGCACTTATTCTGTGTAACGCAATACTGTGAGAAGATCCTTGAAACCGTTCTCGAGCTAAAAAGCAGTGTAAGTGTGTCAGCACAGCACTGTGCTGCAGTAGTCCTGACGAGGGGCAGAGATAATTAGCCAAGGCACAGGATCACATTAACATAGCATCTCAGGTGGCTGAGATGAATGTCCCAAAGTCTCTGGAGTCCTGGTTGACTACGGCCCCTATATACAAAGACAAAGCGAGGGCTGGAGGGAAGATAGAGGTAAACTGAGTTGCTGAAGGTCAAATATTAGATCAGTGCAGGACTGAAAACAGAACCTACAGTTCTTCATCCCTCCAGTACCTTCTCCTCTGGGCCGTAACAAAACCCCACAACAACAACAGGACTTAGCTGCTGCTGACACAGTAGCTTCATGTGTTCCAGGGAAAAATTCTGTATTTTGGTATAGAACCATGGTGATTTGTTTGTGCATGTGGAAAAAAAGGCTATTTACTAACATGGTACCACAGTGAAGTGACATACACTGACACACAAGATACCGACAGATGACTTAAAGGGGAATGAAATATGTGCCCTGTCCTGTTAGAAAAAGGCCCCACAGCTGTACAGACCCAAGCTTTTGTTTTAAGTTGATAAAGACAGCTAAATGCCATTTGCTGCTAAGTGACTTCTAATGATTAAATAACCTTTCTTCCCCTGCCCCCCCAGGACATTTAGTGATAATATAAGAAAGATTTTGCACATTGTTTAGCTTACATGGCCATCTGGCACTTTTGCATTTCAGTAGCCTTGAACATTAAAAAAACAATAGATAAAGAAGACCAGTCCTATCTAATCAGAGACATGGAGAAGTTTAACTCTGTCACAGTACACAGGACTAACCAAGTCGTTATAGCTCTTTTATTGCTTCCATCTTAATTAATGGTCATATTCCTCAAAGCTTTGTGTTGTACTCTTTAAACCAGGCTGTTCCTTATCGCCTTTGTACTTGCTTAGCCGTGAAACACTTAACTCCAGCAGTTGCATCCAACTTCCACTGTTTCTGGGCAATGGAGACAAAAAGGAGATGCATGCTAAGAAAAAATACATGCAGGTTTTAACCCACTTACCCCCCCTCAAATAAAAAATTACTAGAAGTCTTGTCTAAGCTAGGGAAAGGATGCACTTCTCAAATGAAATTGCAATGCTCTTGGCCTAACTCAGTTAGAAAGCTACTTCACGCTGCTGAACCATCATCTAATACCACTGCACTAAGGGGATTCTTCATCTGCTTCTGCTAAAGGGGATAAAAGTACAGTTCACCCAAAGTAACCCACTCCAAAGCCCCTAGAAACAACAAAAAGTTTGGTTTCAACTCAGCAATGGCTTATGATTGAATCCAGCATTTGTTCTTAGGTTAATTCCCTCTCCCTTCTTCCCCATGGAAGAAAACCAAGAAGATTTGAGTCTGTTTGGAAAAAATGTGATTTCCTTAAGACTGTGGCTTTGGGCCTTGAAGGATGAAACCAGCTGCAGGATGCTTTTACCTGTAGTGCTAGAGTGAGTTTTTGACTGAAATCTGTAACAGCAGAGAACACTCGGTGTAAACACGCCGTAAGTAACAGAGGATGTAAAGATATGCTGAGATAAAAACTACTCAGGCTTTGTTTCCAACTGTACTTTGCACTATAAGATTGCTAGTTTGCATTTTAGGCTAGCTCCAGTGAGAGCTGGGAGCTTATAAATGTGCTACAACATCTAGCTATTAGGTATCAAGCTGCCAGAGTGCAATATAATACCCAGAGTCGGGTACCTCGCCTTTCTATTTATAGCCCAGAGAGCGTTAGACACCTCCCAAGGGCGCGTGGAAACTCCCACCTACCAAGCAGAGACCTGGTTGCCGGAAAGATCAAACAAGGGATGTATTAGACTTGCTTTGCATTGCCAGTGTGTAGGTGTTTCCATCAGCTCCAGATCCTGGGCCCACACATCTGGGGTTTAGGAATCTATAAGTGCTCTCTGAAGGTGGAGAACAAGAGTTACCAATTCCTTTTTAACACCGTGGGCTGTAGGGGTTGCGTTTGATGTCGTTTGTGGTAATGAAGGTGGTAGAGCAAATACCCAGGAAAGGGAAGACACTCCCCAGGCTCATCCTGGTGAGAGTCCAAATGTCCATCTCTCATACCTGCTCGGAGCATACCCCCCTCCCAGGGTACAGGCTGAGGCATTAGGGGTTTGGTGGGAGGCTCTCTTACACTGCTGTTAAAAATGCGCTATTGTGCAAAACAAAACCCAAAGAACAGAGCAAGAAAACACAGCACGAGGCTTAATGGTGTTTTCTAATTGTCGTAAGACAGGAATTTAGCTTTTATTTTCTGCTACTATAATTTGTTCTGGTTTTTAAACTAGTGAATGCTTCACATGAAAAGCATGAGCAGAAGTGGGAACAACAGCCAATGTGCCATAATGGTTTTGCTGCACAATACTTGATTAAGAGGTTATCAGTTAAATTTGGCAGGAGGACAACTCTGTGCTCTCTGCAGCATCAGGCTGTGCTCCACATACAGTGGTTTGCCTACAGAGGCTTTTCTTTGACTCCATGCAAGTAGCAAGTATGTCTCACTGTGGACCACAGTTTTAGAACTCCATTTGCCTGAACTATCACCAAAAATATATTCAGAAATTGTAATTATTTCAGGGCTAAATTTGAGAATAAGTTTCCCTACACGCTCCATATTTCAGTAAGGTGCATTTATGCAAGGGTGGTAAGAATTACTCTCGCAAAGAACAATATCCCATGCAAATAAATGAAGAATAGAAAGAGCAAGTTAGCGGATTTCCACATAATGATCTCCTCAGTTCACAATGTATCTGATAATGACAGTTATATTGTCAAGAAACAGGTAAATTGGTTCTCAAAGCTTCAATGGCTAAAATGCCAGCATATTATCATAAAATCATCAGGACTGTATGAGAATGGCAGGCTTAACCTTTCAGGCATGTATAATATCTGCATGGGATAATGAGTTTATATAATCATATTGCTCGCTTATCTCTACTAAATGGCAATATGTTTATACCTCTCAACACAGTAAAATCAGTAGCAATCAGGAATTTGGTTGAAAAACACCCAATTTCCATGTTTTATCTTAAAGTGACATTGCAATACTTTAGAATTATGGCATTATTCAAATACATCAGGACCCTCACGGTGACCCAGATATTGTTAGTGGAAGGTGTCACTGCAGCGTGTTAAGGAAACTCATCCTGGGCTTTAACCTAGCTAGCTCAGGTAACAACCAGCGAAGGTGCACAGCAGACCCTGAGCCTGCCAAGGACCCCAGTTAAGTACTCAGGTTACCAGTCTGCCTTGAAGGGTGTACCGCTGCCTTATCGCTGATGTTGTTATTTGAGCTAGTGAGATTAAAGCCCCGGTTGTAGCACAGCCACACTTCCTAAATTCAGTATCAACATCCACATGAATGGGAATTAGTAAATGCGCCAGTCTGGATGCTCCAAGGAGCAAGCAAGCGTTGTTTCAGCATGAAGGAATCCTTCAGATGCAGGTGCACAATGATTTTTGGTTGGAAGACACTCCTAAACTAATTCTTTCCCTAAAACTTGTGGTTCAGCATGGCTCACATCATTGGACTATATCCTGGTATTGTAAGGTAGAACTGTTGAATACTCTCAAATTCCACTGATTTGGGATAAAAAGGGGAGTAACAAAAATCAGCAAACACTGCACTAGATTGGACTCTGCGGGCAGAGTCTACAAACAGGAACTGCTGTCGCTCTGTTGTTTAATTGGATCTTTTTCATAACCGTTGGAGAACCTGGCAGCAGTCAATAACCTCCATACTAATATTTGATTATGTTATAGTAAACCAATGTTTTTAGGATTAGCCCAGATGTTCAAAGTTTGTGAATCTTTGCTGTAGCCTTTAGCAGTCTACAGAGGGAACCCAGAGGTGACAATTTTTCGACTGTCACAATCCGTGAGGTGCTGAGCTGTTGCCCAGTGATCCAAGACTGATCGCTGCTGCGGGGAACAGCTCAGTGCTCTGACCAAATGGTCTTTAATCCCCTTATTGCTGCCTTCATCCACTGTAATCGCGTTTATATAAACATTTAGTGACATTTTACTGTCATGCCACATGGAGGCCCTGCATTTTTAGGCTGTTTGCAAGGTATGGTTGTCCTTTGCCGCTTACCATCGCGCCTGCTGCTCAGCGGCTTCCTGGTTGGCAACTCATTTCTCAAACGCCGTCTACATTTTTGCAGTGCCACCAAGCGGCTGGCCTCTTCCTTGACTTTTTTTTTTTATTATTATTATTCATTTTTAATTTCGCAGATTTTTATAAACAAACTTAGAACAAATCGTCGTGCCGATGAGAATCGCACTAAACACAATCCACCCCAGCAAACTGGAGGTACGATTCAAATACAAGAGAGAATTACAGAGGGCAGCAAAAGCTCGGCACAACCCCCAGACACTTAAACCTTGGGTAAACCCGGCTTCGGTTCTGAAGAGGGAAGACATATGGGAAATTACCTCAGGAGGAGGTCGCTGAGGGGCGGGCTGACGCCTGCCGGGGCGCTGGGAGGGCGGTGCGTGTCCCGCAGACCCCACACGCTGCCTCCGAGTGCCCGTGGGGCATGAGGGCACGGCGACCTGAGAGACTCTCCGCCCGCTACACCCCCCTCCGCCATTTTAGCGCGGCGCCCCCACAGCGAGCGGGACGCCAGGGGACAATCTCTCCGCGCCCAGAGGGACCCGCCTCCCGCACCCCGCCGGCCAATGGGCGGCAAGAGGGAGGGGAAAGATGCTCAGCGCAGCCAATGAGAACTGAGCGCGGAGAGCCCGCCCCGGGATTTCGGCTGCGCTCGCCAACGGTCGGCCGTGAACGGGCCAATGAGAGCTCGCGGGCGGGCCGCAACTGGCCAATCAGCGTTGTCAGGTGAGATTTGAAAGTGACCCGAGGCAGGCCGCGCCGCGCTGTGGGGACTGAGGGGGTCGGCACAGGTATGGCGGGTTGTGGGGCGGTGGGAACGGGCTCCGGGGCGTCGTCCGCGGGGGGACCCCGGCAGCGGTGCCCTCTTTCCGAGCTGGCCTGGAAACGTGGCGAGGCGGGGGTGGAGAAGGGCTGAGGGGAAAGTCCTGCGGCGACCCTTCCGAGCCGCCGTGGGCAGCGGGGGGCTGGGAGATGGTGTTCGGAAGGGGGCCCGCCTCGAAACCGTTGAGTTTAGACTTTATTCAGTCCCTGAACTTAGGGGGTTCCCGCTTTAAAGATAGCGGTGTTTGTTCTTCCTGCTCAGCTCTGTCGCTATTCAAGTTAAAAACGCCAACTGTACACCTAAATGTTTTTCATATCCATGTTACTCCTTGAGTTTTTGTGATGTTGTTGGTCAAAAGTGGTTCTTTTCCCTGTTTATTTTTGGTTTTGTTTTTAAGTCACGTCTATACATTTTCAGCTTTAATTTTGGTAGTATGTGCTGGCCAGTCACAAATCCTTTCTTTTGTATAAGCCCTTTATTGTTTTCCTACTAGTCTTTATTTGAATTTATGACAATTTAAATTCCTGTTAATCCTTGAGACTCCTGTTTGGGCAAGGTACTACTTAAAAACCGTAATCTGGAAAGAAAAGGAGACAGGTATTTTTGTCCTAAGGAGATGTTTAGGACACTGAGCATTTCATGCATTTTTAATGAGCCCAAAGAGAGCCTGGGTAATCTCTTGTAGTGCTTTTGCTGAGCTGGGTATGGGTTGGTGACACCTTTGTGGGAAGCCCCCTCTGTAGCTCTGCTTATATTTTATTTGCCTTCTTCAAATTTCAGAATAATTCTTCAGCAGGATTACTTACTGAATCGTAGATGACTTGCTCTTGAGGCTTACTCATGGGAGAAGGCCTTAAGTGGACTTAGACTACAGTAGCTGGGAAAATACTATTCAAAGTAGAAGGCAGAGCATTAAAATGCTTTAGATGTGTTAAAATATTTATCAGTAGCTAAAGCAAATGCAGCCTTCTGTAACCTTGTCCCATAGGTTATAGTGTCTATTCTGTGAATATAGGTGAATAATTACCTCCCATCAAGGAACTGAATTTAAAATTGTGCATGCACTTTGCAATGACTGTTGTAATTAACAAACATGTTAAAGGTAAGTTTAGGGAATTTGTCCTGAAAGTCCATAGAGGGTGGATGTAGAGACCTGATGCTAGCTGCTGCTTTGAGGAATTATTTTCATCCACTGGACTCAAAAAGCCTATTTCTTCCAGGAGCATTAACTGTTTTCTTCATGGCTTTTTTGTAATACCATGGGAATTACTAACAAGATCAGTTCAAAGATGATTATTGGAGATGTTAATGAATTAACCTTCCTTAACCACCTAAATGTAAAGCAAGGCAAATACGACCTATAAACTACAGTAGAGTTGGTCTGATCATTTGCAATCATTATTAATTAACTTACATCTTTAATCAAATTCTGAAAGTTGGAATATAAGATGCAGAATGAAACATAAGATATTCACAAATCGGGTGGCACTGAACATGCACCAGCTCTTCCAGGATTATATGGAAGAGATCCAGTCTTTGATTTGAGTGCTTTAAGCTGAGATTTTCCCTTTTGCTTGTTTAACTTCCATTGACCATTTTGCTGTCCTGCAGCATTTCAGTATTGGAAAAAAAGATGCAAAATATACCCATTTAGATTTATGACTCACGCATTACCTCCAGTATCTATTCCAAGCACCTCCAGATGGTTGTGCAGGTACTGTTGGTGCTATGCAAGTTACTCAGTACGTGAATACTTCCGTGACGTGGGGCACAAGGAGCTGCCACGGCCAGCAGTGATGGTGTCAAACAGACTTTGTATTCCTTCTTATAATAGCTCAGCTTCTTTTCTTGCTTGCTTTTTCCATAAGTATATGCAGTTTAAGAGTACGTATTTATTTCTGTACGCTTATTTTGGTTCTCTTCTGACATTTGGGTTTTTCAGTTAGGCTGCTGGTGTTGTTTTTGGCTTTTGGTAGCAAACGGAGGGGGAGGGGATTGACTAAGAAATCCTGTGCACCCATAGTCAAGGCTGATCTTTTCTGTCCAGTTCACTGATGAGTCCTTTAGCTTGATCAAAGCTTGCTGTCTTGAACTGAAGAACCTTAGTAAATGACTAATTTATTGGTAAATGAATCACTGTTGGATATTTAGTTTAGCTCTATCCTTCCTTACTGTAAAGCTGTTTAAGTAATGGAAGATGAGATTTCTAACAGATCCTGTTTGAGGTGGCAGACAGAGTAAGGCCAATTGCAAGCACTGGTCCTGACCTCTCGCCGGGAAGAAAGCACAAAAACCCTCAACAAAACAGGCTTCAGCAGGATGCAGGGAATGGAGCTTTTTACATTGCTGTTAGCACAGCCTGTACAGACCAATTTACGTTTGCATTAAGTCTTCCTCAGGTTAAAAAAGTAGGGAGAAATCCTGCTTGAAATAAACGCTATTGTATTGCAGTTGCATCCTGGAGACTCAGTTGGGAAATGGTGCCAAGTATTCTGATACATGACAAAAATACCTCGCCATCAGATAGGGTATAATCTAAATGCTCAGTGGCAATGTTGCTTCCAAGTATTGTCCTACAACCTTGTCATTTACTTGCTTGTCTCCTTAACATGAAAAACATCTGTGTTGAAAACAGTCTGACCGACCAATCCCTGGCAGTGACACAGTGTCTCCTACTAATTCTGTGTCAAGACTTGTTGACCACTTAACAAACTAGCCCCTTGAATGCATAAAATAAAGCAAAATAATGAAGAGTCATTACTGAAGTGGTCATTTGCGTTTTCTCTTGTACACATATAGAAATGAAGAACCTAGGGCTTTCTTCGTTCATAACATCCAAACTAATGAAAAGGGAGAAACAAAATATGACAGCTTTTTTCCTAATCATTCTGATTTTTGTCTAGGGTCATCAAGATGGCCGCCACCTCCCAGTTTGCCAGTCGATACAAAAAGGATTTGAGTACAGAAACCCTCAGAACAAAAGTTGCACGCAGAAAATCCATGCTTCAAAAGGAGAACAGACACAAGTTGTTTGAAAAGGGCAGGCAGTTTGGATTGGCAGATGTCAATGTTCAGCTCGCAAAAGAGAGGGGAATTTCTCAACTCAGTGAGGCAAGTGAAATGTGCTCTCAGGAGAACAGCAGTGTAAAACAGAGTAAGTAAAGACTTGTTACAATGCTTTTTAATAATTGTTAAAAATGTCTGTAAGTGGATTTAGTGACATTATCACAGGAACCTAATTGTGGTCAACATTTTAATTTGGAGAAAAGGTTTAAGATTTAAAAAAACAATCGCTATCAGTTCTTCTAACTGTTGAGAAAATAAAATCTTAATACAGCTTTATCCTCCTTGCTGCTCTGGTGATACGATTGAGGCTTTGCTCTGATTTGTCTGCAGCAGCTAAAGGAAGAATGCATTTTGCTGTTAAGATTCAGTGGGAAGTCTCTTAATGATTGCTTTGTCATTGAAGTGAAAAACCCTGATCTAAGATCTCATCTAACATATCTGGTGTTTGTCGTGTGCTTAAAGTATTCTTAGAAATAGATAATTGTATATTATAATTCAGTAGACAACATTATAAATTGGTAAATGCATAGTATAATTTTATTTTTAAAATTGCTAGTTTTTGATGTCTTATCTTTCCTCCCACAAGATAGGCCTACATATATGATGAGTTCTGCCTCCCTGACTCTCCTGGATGCATATGGTCTAAGGAATTAAGTTAATCTTTAAAAATATTAACAGATTTCTTCAGAAATATTTTCCCCTTCAGTATTTTGATAGCAGATTATTGGAGGAAGGAGTGCAATCTCTATGTAAGAATGTCAAATATGAAATTGAATAAATTTTGATCTTTATTATTGTCAATAAATTGTAACTTTATATATTAGTTTTTCAGATAGACATGTCATTCGAGTTTGGCATCATCTTAAGGTTTTATTCTTTCATATAACTTCTGCCTCATTTATTCTCAGCCCGAGGCAGACTTTGATAGCTAAAACTGGTCTAAACTTCAGCTTTCAGTGACATTACAAGTGTTTGAATAGAGAAACTGGTAGAAATAAACTAAATAAGTAGTTAAAGTGTTAACTTTAATACTGGTAACCTTGCAGGAACAGCCTGTACACTGTAAAATGGATATGAATTTACAGTATTTCTCAGGTGCAGATTTGGGGAAGTGTATTTGTAAGTTGAAATTTACGACTGAATATCCTTTTAGTGGGAAAAGTTAAGATGAGAATCTAAGCTTTTAGCAAGCTATTAGATCACAGGTATTTGCATTGTACGACTTTAATTGAAACTTACAGACACAGATTGCAGAGTCTTCTGCTCTTTGACTCAGAATGTTTCTCTTCTGGATTGGAAAAGTTTTTTTAAATTTTCTGACTTGCTTATTGTTGGCTCAAAAGTATCTTCAAGATTTTGTAACATGACTGTCTTCCATGTTTGCTTCAGAACAGTCTACAAATGCAGCCACCAGGAAGATTAATGAACGCAGGGAAATGCTCCAGCGTTATAAAGAAGAAAAGGAACTTCGAAAATTGAGAGAGCAGAGAGAAAAAGCAAAAAAGGGTGTGTTTAAAGTTGGTTTATATAAACCAACTGCGCCCGGATTTCTTTCACTTGTACCTGAAGGTCCAGTGATAGTGAAGCCAAGAGAGAAGGTAATAAGAGTAATATTAAACATCTAAATTAAATATATGCAGTATACTATAATAAAATTTCTATTTGCATACGGAATTATGTGTACGTTATGCCAAAGAAACAGTTTATTTTGTAAATACTTCATTTTATAAAAGGGAACAATAAGGGAGTAATTTGGCTCATTTTTAAAACAAAGCTGGAAATAGTACTAGTGATATGTTAATTTTTGTGTTTATGATCACATTCTCAGTTCAAAAACTGGAATGATTCATAGACAGATGAAACAGCTAAGTTACTTGGGAACTGGTAACTTGTTCCTATTTGGTCCACTTGACTTTGAAAGTTTTTCAGATTACACACCTGACCCATTTTGCATGGGCATGTTGCTTTTCGCACTTAGGATTCTTGCCCACCCTAACAGCGATGGGGGGGAAAAGGAGTATGTTAACTCTTGTTTCCTTGGGGATGTTCGCAGGTAGCTCCTGATTTCTCTGGGAGGATTACTCGATCAAAGGCCAAGATCCAAGAAGAAAAAACCGTGATACCAACTGCATCTAAGCACTCTATGGTTTGTTTTTCATATAAACTTCAACGAATAAATTTAGAGAAAAGGATGCAATTATCCTTCAGACCATAACTCAGGGTTGTATGATTACAAGTTGAGTGCTGTCTCTGAGGTGGTTTTCCTGGTGAGAAAAACAAATTAGATCAGAAAAGCTTTTGGCAATCTTATAGACTGCAATGTGCTGAACTGAACTATGGAGAGTTTGATGAGGTCAGTACAAACGGGAAAAGAGCACAGATCTCCTGGATCAGTTTTTCAATACAAAACATTGTAGTCAGCGAGGACTGCAAATATATGTAGAGGTAGTAGTGAGACTAAAGTTCCATACATCGGTTTTGGCTTGGAGAACCAGTGCATCTGCCTTGAATGCAGAAAGTCTGTCATGAATGCGGGTTACAAAGAGTCAATTCAATTCTTCAGTCAAAAATCACTTCAGTGTTGGCATATTTTTACTGTGAATCTTGGCAGTGCCTTCTGCTATTACTTGTACTAAAAAGTAGGTTTTGCTGAGGAATTTCACCAGCAGGAATCTGTAAAAAGCTGTATTTTGAATCTAGCAATCTTGCCTTCCAAAACTTGAACGCATTTGAAGGATTTCCAGTCGTAACTTTGCAAAGGGACAACTGAGTTAATACTGATTATTTTTTCTGAAAACTGATTTTTAAAACATGTAATATGTACTAAAATGCAGCAGTAATTGTACCTAGTTTCATAGTAAACTGATAATGTTTCTGAAATACTTTCCTTCACTGTATTTCTGACAGGTCCTTACTTAGTTTGATAATGCATGTTAGCACATCTAAAACGAGCTGGTTTAGTTATCCTTAATTTTGTTTTACTTTTTAAAGCCCTTTGTTCCAAATTATTTGACCATTTGTTTTGCTAGAGCCTAGGAGGAAGATGAGAGAAATTAGGCTGCTTTATTTCTGGAAATTTGATACTTCACACAAAATTATCTTCTCTTGTAGGTCTCTGCCAGTGGGCATAGTGTGCGCCCTACGCAGGCAGGACGTAAACAGATGAGTACAGCCAAAGCAACTGAAAAAGATAAAGGTATAAAAGTTGTATGATCCTTACATCTGAATCTGAAAGGATATAGCTGTTTGTTTGTTTTGTTTTGTTTTTTTTCCTGAGTCAGTAGCTGTGACATTATGGGAGGAGAGCAGAGAGCATCGATGGGAGAGATTGCAGTACATTTTTGGGTGTATGAAACAAAAGGTTTTTAGGATGGCCATTCCTACCAACTATGACAAGGGCAGCAGCTGGCAGATTATCAAGCATGTGGCTCTAGGTGTCGCATGTATTTGTTGCCTCTATAGGCTGGGGAAAATGGAATGCAGGGTACTAGCCGTCCTGGTTACTGATTATTCACCCTAGGAGAGGGAAAAGAAAGGTCAGTAGGCAGAATTGCATGGCTGCTAGCTGCCTTAGCATCTGGAGCTGTGCAGAGCTTTCTGTGTGTCTCTAAGAAGAATATCGCATGTAGTAGCTGCTGCTATTACATAAGAGCAAGTGTCTTCACCCAGAAAGTTGAAGAATAGCTGACAAGTAAAATATGAATTTTCCTTGGTGTTGTGGGTAGCCTGAGAAACAGCTGATTGTATGAGCTGTAAATATTTCCAGTGAAGTCTTTCTTCTGTCTATACAGCAAATATGCTGTTGTCTGTGGTCTCTAAATGAAACTGCTTCTGTAACTCTGCATTGAAAAAGGTTTAGAAAAGGATAGGCTACTGGTAAAGCACATTAGCATGTAATGTTGGAGACAGGAGCCCAGACTTCTGATGCACATTAGAGCAACTGAGTAAATGTGTGATTGTCTTCTTCAATAAATGGCAAGTACAATCTTAGGTTTTCATACTTTACAACAGGCCCTTCTGTATCTGTCACTTTCTATGTGACAATTACATACATTCCTTCAGAAAACAACAAAAAAGCCCAACCCATGCCACCCTTAAGGGAATAGAATATTTTTTATTAGAAATTCTTCCTGATAGCACAGTGATGTCCGTGCCTTAAGTTGATAAGGCTAAGTCATGTGGAATATTGACGTTTATGCAAGATATTCAGTAATTCAGAATGCAATTACTTTCACGTCAGCAATTTAATTAAATCAGCAAGCAGCAGACCTTTAGATAAATTTCAATAGTGTCTTCAGTGCATACTGAAAAGGTCTATTATTAGTGTTTGATATAACAATTAAAACATTTAATTTTTGAGAACTTGTCATCTACTAGACCTGATTATTCTTTTTGTGCTGAATCAAGAATATGTATTATATGTATTTAAACACTAGTATAAAAATGTTAGGGAAGTAAATGTTTGGATAAATTAAATGTTTTAGTTATTTATCTAGTATTTTTTCCCAACTTGTCATTCTAGCTTCCACAGAATTGCAGCTTGACATTAAAATCACGAATAAGCATTAAGAGTAACTGAGTGGGGCTACTAGATTTCAGGCAGATGTAGGAAGGGAGGGTATGAAATAAAGAGCTCCTGTTAAATTTTTCTGGGCAGGAGAATGCTATAATTTTTGAAGGATATTAGAAGCAGTACTAAAATACAAAGATTAAAATTATTAAGATGGGTAACACAGTGCTTGAACTTGTCATTTTTCATAAAATATTTCAGGAGCAATTTGTCTTAAAAATACTTTGTTAAATTACATCAACTTCAGACCTTGAAATACTTTCACATAATGACCAAGGCATCACTTTGTTACGCAGATGGTTTGCTTAAGCTTCCAGCTGTGCAAATAACCATGGCAAGTTATGACCCTAGAAAGCTTCATCTGTAAAGTGGGGCTGATGTTGACTCTGATTGCAGGGAACATTGAGAAGGGTTCCTTAAGCTTTTACACGGCTTCTAGCACACTGGTACCTTGATCGTCCTGGAGGCACTACTGTACAACAAAACCATCTTCAATCAAGATCCTTCAGAGCATTGCCTTGATGCAAGGCTGAGCTGTGCTGTCCATGTTTAGCACTGCTTGCACCGAACTCACAAAAAAAAACCAAACCCTGTTGATTCTGACAAATGAATGCAACTAATAATTGCTGGCTTCTGATTTCTACAAAACGTAAGCTTTCAGTTATATTACTTGAGTGCAGCTCCTTATTAAGCTTGTAATCTCTGGAATTAATATTTCGTACAGTGTTGAAGACTGCAGTCCCGTTAGCCTCAGATGTGAGAATCACCAGAGCAGCCTCTTCTGCAGCTAGGCAGATGATGAAAACAGCTGCTGCTGCTACTGCTGGTAAGTGAGGCGGTGAATATAGTCCTGCTTGTGTAGCCCAAGGCTGATATGTAAGTATTTGGAATAGTGTGCTGTAAAGGGATACCATCTAGTGCTGGATAACTGAGCACTGGGGACGACATACATATGTTTATATGCTGCTGTTAGACTCGTTGTCAAAAGTTATACTAAGACAGCTTTGTTGTCTTCAGGTTCTTGCCCATAGCTCAGGCACTCTGTGCTGTAGAGATACGCATCAGCTTGTTCTGAACTGTCTTAGCACACTACATTCTGCTGTGTAGCTATCTCCTTTGAACAGATAGACTGTATGTAAATCATGCCAAATTGTCAGGTGAGGAAAGGACTAAATATTGTACCGCTTAGACTCTCATCTGGAGTTCTGCTGCAATATTTAAATCAAGATGTTGAAACCAACATTGGACAGTTTCCCATAAAATCTGTCAGTGTGGAGCATCAATATCCATATGGTAATTATAAACTGAAAGAACAAAACCAGAACTGGTAAAGATTTGCTAGTTTGATATATCACTGTTCAAGGACATATGATTATCACATCTGTGTTCAGGAACACTCTGGAGGAGATGGGAGCTTATGTTCTTCAGGTCAGGAATTTCTCTTTGTCCGCGTTTGCCTGTCTATGAGAGTAGAGGAACATGATGAAGGGGGACTTTGTAGTATATATTCTTGTTCCCAGGGTACTCTCTAGAATGTTTTGCAGTGTCCCTTGTGTTATATATGACAGAAGTGAAGTTAAGCCCTAGGCTGAAAGTATAGCTTTGATAGTATCAATTTCAGTTTACCAGCAGAAATCATATGCCACATAGAAATTAAAAATCTGAACTCAGATTGGCTTGACACTATTTCTTCAGCTTTTAAGGAAATAAGGTGACTTTCATTTTTAGTATATGACATCACTGAAAGACTAATAGCTTAATCTGTTTTCCCTTCTAGGTGGTACATCTCTTAACAAGCTGTTAAATCCTAGGCCAGGTTTTCTTTTGAATGAACTTTTGCAGTGAGGTCTCTGCCCTCTAGCCACCTCCCACTCAAGAAACAAAACAGTCTCTCCCTGTCTTTAGCCACTGGACTTTTACAGCAATCTTTTGGTGAAAGACTATCTTAATCAGGTGCCTTTTTGACTTTTGTGAGTTTCTCTCATTCTAGGTAACCAGTCACAGAGAAAGACAGCAAATGCAGGAAAGCAGAAGCAAGCAGTCAAACCTGACATCACGGAGGTAGGTCATTTAATATTTGAAATGGAAAAGCAGTAAAACTGATTTAAGAGCCAATAACAGTGTAATTGTAGCTCAAATATACTTGTGTTCAAGCACAGAAGTAATAAGTTCACTAATAAGCTAGATTTTGAGAAGAAGCTGTATGTATTTATATTACTGTATTTTAAAAATTAAGATCAAATTTAGTGTTTATATGGATGACTTGATTACTAATCGAGGTCTGGACAATTATTTAAATTAGACCAGAAGTTCTTACGTGACATATCTCATGTCTGATGTTTTAACTAATAGAAAACAAAAATGTCCTGCTTTGTTGGATTTATCTAGCATTTGTAAACTTTGTGCAGTTCATGCCTTTATTTGAAACATACTCTTTTCCTGCTCAGCTAATGGTGTGAGACTCTAGAAGCTAAGAAATAAATGCATTTTTAGGTTTTTGAACCACCAAAAAATAAAGCTGGAAATGTTATTCTCTGCAAGGTAGACATGAGTTATCATAATTAAAGGCAGTTATTGTGGTTCTTAGTGTCACTGCTATAGCAAATGTTTTCTAAAAAAGTTTTCTAAAAGCGGTATTGTCTTGAAAGTGGTGCAGTCATGCACAAACACTGGCAGGAGATAAGAGGCACTTACATCTTCATTTAAGTAAGTACCTCTTTGCAGGCAGGAGTTGCTTTGTGCTGCCAGTTGATAAGCTCTTGCTGTAACCTCAGTCATTTTGTTACAAGGAACGTGTGAAAAGTTGAATTTCAAGGCTTACATTCCAAGAAGGGGTATCTAAAGTACAACAAGACTTTCAGTGGATTGAAGATGCATATTTTCTTGAAAAACAATCTAAGTTCTTTTGCCTGGTTTGAGCTAACAGTATCTCGATATAGGTATCTCAGAAATGCGTTCTGTATGACTAGCTGGTCACTCATCTCATGGGAATGTGGATTCAACTTATTGATTAACTTTTTCTCCTCTTTTAATGACATTCTGTGGTTCTAACTGTGCTTGTCTTGGGCTGCATTCCTCAGCTATCAGTTTATTTTAGCTTGTTCTTCAGTTTTTGGATTAGAGTATGTGTATAAACTGTGATTATTCAACAGGCCTAGTTGGATTTGGAGCCAGTAATTCTGCTCTTGAGGAGCTTATCACCTTAAAGCATATTTTTCTAGCAGTGGGTGCAAGCGTTTTCTAATTTTAATTACTGTTTTGGTAAGTGAGGTGTTTTGCTACTTTAGTCCCTTCAGTGGATTGTCGCATTCCTCGCAGTGAAGTGGTACCCCTGTTGCTAGAATGATTTGCAGGTGTCAAAACCAGTGGGGCCTATTGGTAAATCGTGACTTCTGTACATGGATGCTGCTGTAGAAAGTGACTCACCTGAAACTGTTCCCTTCCTGATGACTTTTGGACAGTCGTGTTATATAATTCAGCCCATGCCTATAGTAAACACTTCATTGATTTGATGATGTAGTGTTCGCTTGGTCTGTTTGTGCTGTTATAGGTAATACCTTCTAAACATGAAGTGGATAAAAATGCTCAACTGAATCCAGTGATGAAAGGTTCTGCAGCTGATTCTATGCATTCAGTGTCAGTAGAAATTCAAGAGGAACAAACCTCAGTGGAAAACAAAAACAATTCTGCTTCAGGGAGACCCAGAACACGCTCTTTTGCACCTCAAAACTTTGTGTTTCAACCATTAAATGGACTAGCGACCTACAAAGTTACACCCATGACGCCTTCTAGGGCAAATGCATTTTTGACACCTAATGCCTTCTGGGATTTTTCAACATCTCCAGTGTAAGTTTCTTCTGATGGCCTAAAATGCTTGTGAACCTCTTTGTGATGGTACAGAAGCCGTCATCTTTCTATAGTGATTCTCTGTGTGATAAACTCCTGTGATGTTAAAACACCTGATCTTCATGGTGGTTGTCATTACTTAAATGTAGACTTAATACAACACCAAAAAAGCAATATAATCTATAATTCTGTCTATGCTTAGCACTAGAGCAGCTCCATATATTGGGGACTGTGCCATATATATCCCTGCACAGATTTATTTATTTTGATAGGATTTGCTGGAGTTCTCTAGCACTGTGCGTAGGATTGCCTTTTAAATTGTGCACTTCTGTGTATTTGGCCATATTCGCTGTCAGTTTCTCAGTGTGTCTTAACTGTAAGTGTATTTTTTGTTTCCAATAGTATAATTGAAAAGTCCAGTGAAATTAAGGCACAAGATCCTAATTTAAAAAGTCAGGTTTCACCTGCTGATAAAGGTATTCAAGAACAGCACACCTCTACAAGTTTGAAAGGAGGAAAAGGTAGGAAGTTCACATTTAGTTTATTGTTCTAATGTTTTTAGTTTTCACCAGATTCTGAACAAATGCCTTTTATATTTTTCAGCAAGTGAATCAGACAAGAAAACTTCCATTCAGAGATCAAATGAAACAATTCCTGTGTCTCCAGATACAACAGTGCTTGAAATGAAGTCAGATGATGTAAGAGAACAAGAGCATGATGTGCCGTATTTCAGGTTTGTGTTCATTTGTTTCACTGCCCTGTTGTCCATTCTGAGGCCCTTCACATGAGTAACGAGATGTCTTGTAAAGGTTAACTCCTAATGGCTGGTGTCTGTTGGCAGTGACCCAAGTAGGCACACATTCCTGTCTTCCCTTTTCTATTGTCAGTACAAGTAAAGAATATAAAATTCTGGAGACTAACACCTTGTCCTAAGCAATGAAAGCTTGAAAGCAGTAGAAAAGAAATTGCCTTTCAGCCAGTCAGCAGACTAAAATAATCTAATGGCTTCTGCTCAAAGACGGTGTAGCTTCTCTGAAAGCAAAAGGGTAGTAGCCATTGTAACAGTCATAAGTAGTGATAGCAGTTAGAAAATTCTCCAAAACCTTATTTTTTCACTATCTCTTTATTTTTAGAAACATTCTTCGATCTGAGACAGAGAGGCTGATGTCTCAGTGCCTCCAGTGGGATGTAAAATTTGAGCTGGACATTCCAGAGGATGGTAAGACTGAACTGTAATAGGCACTAGAAGGGGCGTTACGGTCACCGAAGGGGACAGAGGGAAATACAGTTACCTGAATGTATTTGCAAAATAGCAGTGTCTACAGCACTTAGTAAAAGTCATATTAAATAAACTTTAGAGTTGTATCTGCCTCAAGACAAAAAAGTATGCTTTATCTCCTAACGTTAAAGCGTATGTGCAGTACTTGAGGTCACAGTGCTTGACACTAAAGTGAACAAAGTGCATATCGAAATACTTCTGTTGTCACTTTTAAGTGTATTTAAATGCATTAATTTTAACCAAGCTGATATTTTTTTTTAAATAAAATTTGGCTTTCATGCAGAATAAATGTCCTTATCTGGGAAAATTAAGAAGATTCATCAATGCAGATCTTAAAGACTTAAAGAGGTAGTAACATTTTTTTGAAAGAAACAGGTTTACAGCAGTTCAATGGGATAGGTATGCTCCATCTGAATTATATTACAGGTCTGCAACAGATGAACATAGTTCAAACAATAAACAAATTCCAGACTCTTCAAATACTTATTTAAATCAATTGTGAAATGATGGATTATTTAAGATGTACTTTCTTTATTGTTTTCTTGTTGCTGTCAGCTAAAGATCTTATTCGCACCACAGTTGGTCAGACAAAATTGCTCATAGCAGAAAGGTTTAAACAGTTTGAAGGACTGGTGGATAACTGTGAATTTAAACGAGGTGAAAAAGAAACAACGTGTACAGACTTAGATGGATTTTGGGATATGGTTAATTTTCAGGTATGTACTTGCATGTTAACCTACTAGAAAAAAGTTGATGGAGTTATTTACAAACAATGGATTGAAACTTTTTTTTTTGAATATTCAGATTCCGATTTATTCATGTAAAAAATGCGGGTCCTTGTTTGACACTTTCTGACAGTGAATGGTACCAGATGGTATACTATGATTTATAATTCATGGACCCGTTCATCTGTTACGGTGTCTTGTGGCCTGTGTATCTTGTTTTTCTCTGGAATAAAGGCATATAGCCAAGTCTTATTCTGGTTTGGAGTGAGGATACAGTCACGATGTCTACCTGGACCGAAAGCTGGGAGCTTTTGGAAAATTCTTGAAGCTCACCTGAAAAGTAGCAGTTCCGTGCTTTGGTATGAGAATAATAAAGAAACTAGAATCAGCTTATTTAGGGTGAGCTTAGGTGGTAGAAAACATTCATCTCCTTCTCTGTAAATGCTTCCATTGGTTTTAGAATGAAATATAAAATTCTAAACTATCAAAAGAGTTATGGTATTTGTAAATCATCATTCAACAAATGAACTTGTAACGAGTTAAATTAAATGCAAAGATGGATTTATTGTTAAGGTCCTAGTCATAGGTCTTGAGTTCCCTCCAGAAAGCGTAAGGTTTTTATCTGCTGCTTCAGAGGTATTTGAGGGGAACTTTGCTAGAATCAGTAACGCGAAACACTGGGTTTATTGATGCTTACTATATATCTGGGAGCAGCTCCAGTTTCTCCTGAGCCTCCCCACCTTTTCCCTTAGATAGACTTAGAGTAATAGATTTGCGAACTGTGTCCCTTTTTGCATTTATTTTTTGTTTGTGTCCTCTGAGTTTCAGGGAGGATGTAAAGGACTCGTCACTTCGGTGAGGGGTCTCCTGTACGTAAATAAGCCTTGTATGGCATTACTAGCACGAGGCAAATGTCTCCATTACAAAGCCTAAGGGGAGCAAGGCTGTTGCACTGAGTATCAGTCAGGGAGGGAGTAATGCTGCACAGCTAGTTTGTCACGAGCAAGCACCGATTGCATCAGGAAGCTGCTCAGGCCAGCAGTTTAAAAGAGCAAACAAGCTTGCATGGTGTATTTCCTACATAATGGAAGACTCGTGCTTCTTTGGATAAATACTATTATGCAATGCATTCTTCTGCATTCCTTAAATGTGACCATTGTCAAAGTGCTTAAGTTCAGTAAAAGAACAGGTTGTAAACAAGTTCCTTCATTTAGGTGTTAGTTATTACTGAACAGTTCTATATTTCCCTTACTAACCTTTAAACTAAAGAAATGAGACCAGTCTTGTCATCTAACCTGAAGCTTGAGTATGTTAATGTGACCTTCATGTCAACTGTATTAGAACATTTAGTACTTCATATTGGTTGATGGTTTATTTTACTTCTGTATTTAAAGGAAAAGTACTTAGATGCATAGCTATGCTTAAATTTTTATGAAACACCGTCCTGTTGTGAATCTGATAAGTCCTGAAAATTGAATCTGGACTTCTCTGGGCTTTCCAATAGATCGAAGATGTGAATAAAAAGTTTGATAATCTGAAGAAGCTTCAAGACAATGAGTGGCAACCACTTGATGTCCCAACCAAAGCAATTGTCAAGGTATGAGTAGCCCCTAAAGCGCTTCTCCTAAGGCATCAAGATGCAGCAGTGTGTTATCTAAAATAACTAATAAGCGGCTATTGCAATAATTAATACTCTTAAACGGAAGTTGCATCTAAAGCCCTACTTACCTGTCTTCTTTAGATGCTAATGTGTAAAAAATCAGTGAAATTCCTCTCAAGATGCACCCTTCTCCCTTGCATCTCCCAGGTGCACTTGTATTAGTTGGTGTTTGTAATGTTTAGTTGCCTCTCTTGGCTGTGAAGATTGGAACTAAGAATCAGCAATGACTTCTAGAGTCATTGGACTCCTTCCTAGTAAGACAAATTATTAAATTTAGAATAGGAATTTACCCTTAAGATGTAGAACAGTTTATCTGGGCCACTGGCATTGGCACTGACTTAACTGAAAAGGAAACCACACAAGACTTTGGCAGTAACTGCCAGTTTTGAGCTGCAAGTGCTAAATTATAATGGTGTCCCATTGACGGCACCACGGGTAGTATTAAACTACTGGTTCCCTAAGCACAAATGGAGCTGACACTACCCAAAGTAGGTGATTGCTTATTGCAAAATAAGCTTTAATGTAAGCTATTTTATCTACTCTTTGTTTGGAATACGTAATTGCTTCTAATGACTGAGCATAAGTCATATTCACATTGCCAAAACTCCATCCAGTTCCTTGAGATTGTTCAACTAATCATAAAAACAATAGGAAGGTTGGTAAGAAACTCCTGGCACAGGAAACTGGAGGGAATGTAGTCTGTGTGAGCTGCCTGTAATGTCAGAATCCCTACAGATGGTGCAAGACAGGAAACTTCCTTTGAAAAATTGAATGCCAGGAGTCTGTGCTGGCTGAGTGGTGTCTGTCCTGCAGTTACTTTATCTCCCTGCCACTAGGAGTCCCTGTGTCCCACTATTTTCAAAAATGTTAACTGGAGTTGTTAGAAAAAAGTTGTACTGAGTATTTCTGAACAGCAGACTCCGTAGGAAAAATCTTTAATATTGTCATCACAAACTAACCTTAATAGCTGACTGGCAGGCAGGCCAAGGCATTCTGGAGGTGAGCAGAGACCTTGTCTCCAGCATGTCTCTTGCCTGTTGTGGTCTCTGTGTGCAGCCAGCAGCTCTGGAGATGTTCATGTGCAATTGCTTCTGTTTGAAGCTTCCAGATGTGACCTAGGCTTTCTTACCATTTCAGAAGACGACTATTCCAAATGGAGTGTCTAAACCAAAGCTGGGAGCAGCTGGAAGAGCTGCTGCCCAAAACCGACTTGCTGCAATAAAAGCAGCTATGAGGGCTAAAATGAACCGTGATGAAGTTGCTGATTGTACACATCAGGAGAAGGTACCCGAAGTAGAAACAGTGGTTTTTGAAGCGGGATTTTTCAGAATTGAAAGCCCTGTGAAAACCTTTCCAGGTGGGTGAAGCTTAATCATGATTTCTGTGACCTGAAAGTACTGAAGAGATTTTAACCAATCTCACTGGGGAGAGGAATGATGCTGTTTATACTGGATACAACTGTAGTACTGGACACGGTATTTCAGCTAGTGACTAATTACGTCAAGGATCCATAGTAAACTGTTCTACATGAATGTGCTGATTTGAGTGATTATGGCAACATGAAATCGCTGCTTAGGCAGAGAGGTGAAAGCAGCTGGTTCATGTTTTTTCAGCGTGTGTTTAACAATGAAGTTTTAATCTGAGTGTTCCCTGACTTCGCTGACAAACCTGTTCATCGAAGTCAATGCAGGCTAATGTCCTCTATTTGTAACACAGGAGTTAGAATTTTTTTTTTAACCAAATCTCTTGCAGAGCTGCAAGAGATCTTTAAATCTGCAAACGAAGTATACCTGTGATCTGTATTCATGTCCAACAAGATTGTAACATATTGAAGTTTGTAAAAGCTGTTTAATTGGGTTTTTTGAGCAGATGCTCAAAATATAACTTCATTTTCAGTATCTATTTTATCACAATCTATGTGAAGCCAGTATTTTCAGTAATCCTTGATTCTTTGGAAGCCATTTTACTTCTCTCCCATTTCTAGCTCATAAGCTGACTTTGAATTTCCCACTTTATTTTTTTGTCTAGATCTCTTTCCTCATTACCAGACTAGCAATTTTTTCATATGCCTCTTGTTAGTAGAGGAGACCTGAAAAGCTTTGAGCAGCACTGGGTTTAAGCAAGCTCGAGCAGAGAATCTGTTATAAGGGTCAATTCTGAATCTGTCTTTTTCATTCTATTATTGAATGTGAAAGATGGAAATTAATGACAGCTTTCACCAGATGGACTTGTAAAGAACAGCAACTCGTTATTTCAGGTTCTTTGTGAAGGGATAGTCATGTCTAAGTTGCTTAGCTGGAGTTAAGGTAGTTTTGTAACTTACTGACCTATTCCTGTCAGCTTTTTTCAATTTCTCCTTGCAATATATATAAGGTTTCAATGTAATATTTGTGTAAGACAATTCAGCAAGCAGAAAACAAGAGTGATCCTAGCTACAATCCAAGCAAACAGTTAATTTAATCCTCTGGAACTGCTGTAGTAATGAAACATTAAACATGCTTTTTCAGGCTTGCTTCCAAAGACACCTCACACATCTTCCCAGCGAACTTCTGAAAAACTGGCAACTCCAAGATCATCCAGTAGAGCTTTGCTTCAGAGCATCCCTTCTGTTCTTCGTGACCCTGAGGATGCAACTGCAAAACAAACAACACCAGTGCCCAAAGGCTTCCACCCAGCACGAAACTTGACGATGCAACAATTTCCTGCTGGAGAAACTCCCCCGCTGGAAAAACTCCCTGGTCGTTTTCTTGAACGAAGGTAGACATGTTAAGGCAGCTTTTAATGAACTTTGTACAAATAATTTTATAGTTTTAACTTAAAGAATTAATACCCATTAAATGTTACCTTCCAGTTTGGCAATGGTAAAGGTTGTGAAATCCTTGTGTTTTTTCCTTCCCTCAAGCAAATGCTAAGAGCTTTGCCCAAACGTAATCTCACTACTGAGGTAGAAGTTTATTTTTTACTTAGAAAATATGATAGAGCTGACCAGTGCCAAAGAAGCAGGGATAATGGCAGAATTGTAAGGTCAATTGGATAAGTCAAAAGGTGATAGAAGATGGTTGAGAAGAAATAAAACGTTTTGGTTTCTCTTTCAGCATTCCCGTAGTGGAAGAGCCCTGTCCTGTTGCTGGCCCAGCAGAGGGAACTGAGGTAAGTAATGCATAGTTCATGTATGTGCTTTCAAATTTTTATTGCTATTATTATTAGCAAAAAAACAAAAAAAAAAATATTTTTAGCCCCAAACACTTGGATTTCTGATCAAATCTTCATCAAGATACCTTCTGTATTCCCCTGGCTGGTGCTTTTTCCTTCTCAGTATGGACGTCGATAGGGACTGCTGCAGTTTGAGGATGTTTTCTAGCTCTTTGGGATCTGTCTTTTGTTGGCTGCTGTATGATGACACTTGTCGCTTGGGCAAGCAGTGTTCCTTGAAGTCCACTACCTATTTTCTAGTGTGCATTTTTTTAAATGCTTTTGCATTTGGGGACCATGACTAAGGGCAGCAGCAGTATTTAGCTCTCTGGATCCTTATGCTGCTATAGCAGAGCATTGGGCTGTTATATTGTTTAAAGGTATAGCAAGAGCAGTGTTACTAATACAAGTATCAGAATTCAGAATCCACGCCCTGAAATGTCTGAGAACTTGGTGACATGCCTACATTTGAGTAGCCTTAAATAGGAATGCTGCCTTCATAGTATAGATGATACTGTGCTTGCTACTCAGTGAAGGCCAGTGCTTTGCAGTTAATCATCCTTTAGCACCTTTCATTGGAAATTGAGTATCTTAATTTTAATTGCTACTGCTTGGATCTGTGCATGACTACAACAGTCATTCTCTCCCCTCCCCACATCCCGCATATTTTTTTTTTTTTTTTTAAATCTTTGTCACTAATCTGTGCTTATGCCTTTTACTTCATCATTCCCCTATCAAATGAGAAATTGTTGGTGATGTTTCTCTCTGGGGAAAACTGTGGTAATCCTTAACTTTTAGTATGGCTAATGGATTTTGCTTGAGGTAAAGTCACAGCAGAGAACATCCTCAGAATGTTTTTGGCAGTTGAAGTTTGAAATCTTTTTTCATGTGGAAGAACTTCCTTTATGCTCTGTAAGAGATTATCAAGTTTACACTGGTGTTTAGGAAATAGCTCATGTGAAATGGATCACAGTGTTAAGGTGCGAGCCCTGTCCTGCCTGTGCTTTGTACAGTGTCTGGAGTTAAAACCCATCCCTCCTGAGCTGTCCATAAAACCTGCAGTTTAGATGTATGGACTTGGTTTGACATAGCAGGGGAATGCTGGTTTCTGTAAATGCACATCACTTGAATGTCCTGGCTACCTTTTCACCTTTGTGCTTTTTTCATCAAAAGCTGACAAACTTCCTTTTATTGCATACACAATAGAAAATAAGAAAGCTCCCTGGTGTCATAGGTGTTGCCTCGTGTCCGTCTGATCTCACTGATGCTTTCCTTTTGGCTACTGCAGACATCTTACCCTCTCAGAGGGTGAGAAACAGTTATTCCTCTTTTTCAGGGGCTGGAAAATTCTAGCAGTGAATTAAAAGTAACGGATGGCATGGAAGAGATGGAACTATCTGCTGCAGAACAAGGACAAGATATTGTCATGGGCAGTCCGGAGGAGGAGACCTGCACTGCGACTAACTTCGCTCAGTCTGGAGAACCCAGAATTCATCAGACAGGTGCATATCTTAAAGTTGTTTACTAGAGTTGATGTGGTATTCCTGGGGCCTTATGTTTATTCTAAAGTTTTATGATAGTCTAAATATTACTCTTTGAAATTCCTGTTGTGGTAGCTTGATTAATCTGTGTATGCTGTTAGCAAAACCTGCTTTAGCTAGTGTGACTTATAAACATGTTGAGCAAACAGTGCCCCTTAGTTTTTTCTGTATACTTTCCATGTGATATGTGAAGGAGAAAGCTAATGTAAAAGGCTTGAAGTAAAAGTAAATACAGACAGTTTAGGGGCTTTTTTTAGCAAATTCAGAAAATTATATTGTTTTTTCAGCTTTGGCAGCTTCAGACTAACATATTTTTAATGAAATAATCTTATTTTTTAGATGTTTCATGTAGTGATTTGACATCCATTGGCAGAAATCCTTTAGAAAGGGTAAGTTGACCTTCAAGTTTATTTGACTAAGTCTGCATGTTACAGTACTATTAACCTTTCCTACAGAATCAGTTACTGGATGAAGTAAACTAAACTCTCTAAGATGTTATCAAGCTAGTTCATATAACATACTCTAAATACAAGCCATGATTTCTGTCTACCTGCTTGGGCTCACACTGTTATTCCTTATTGCAGATGATGAGTGTAGGATGAATCGAGACATTTGTAACAGAACAATGTCTGATTCTTATCAGATTGATCCTTTAAATAGTATTTCATGTGGATTTCCTTGTAATTATTTACTTAACGTAATGAAAGGCCTGGTCTTTTTCTTCCACTTACTACTTGGAATTTCTCGGGTCTGTCCCATCCCTTTTTTTTATAGCTTTAACTTTTAGAGCTGGAGGTAAGATTCAACAGGGAAAAGCAGATGTGCAAAAACTTCCAAGTAGTTTAAAGAATTTGAGTGTAGAGTTTCTTTGGTCTCATGAAAAATCCTCTTTAAAATACGGATTACTGGTTTAAGTACCGAGCGTCTTCAAAATGAACCACACAGTCACTTCTTCCTTTATGTCTGGAAATCAGCTTGCACGATTTCTGTTGGGAAAGTCACAGTACTTACAGCGGTACATGATTTTGACCTGTGGCTGTTGCTTTGGAACAGTATCTTGTGTAAGCAAGCACATTTTAGTATACTTGCATCTCCTGAATCACCACAGGCTTCAGCTCTGCCTGGCAGATCGGTGCTTTGCCGCTTCTAAAGCTGCGGCGTGTCCACAGTACTGAGTGAGAGGCAGGAGGATTGCACGCTTCTCCTGTTCCCTTGTCAAAAGCATTTTCTGCTAGTTTTTGTCCCACGATGTCTGACAGCTTCTGCAGTAGGCAGGCACCTACCACACATAAGCAGTTGCCTGACAGCAATTACAGCCGGTCTGAGGCTTATGCAGATGTCATTAGAAGAAGGAGAATTTCCTATTAGCTTATTTCGTGTGTCATTGCAGTGCTCTTCTGCAGAGCAGATAATTGTTCCTCAAACATTTACTTCAGACTCTCTCTCCCACAGCCCATGCTGGATGCTGAGCTTCCCTTCACTCCAGTCAAGACCAAAGCCCAGATGTTTGCAGCAGCAGAAACATTCAGTGACCTTATTGTATTTTCTCCCCTTTCTCCACCTGGGGAAAAATGAGGAGTGACTTGAAATTCAAAATATGTAAATTTATATTAAGAGCAAAACCATGGAGGATATCTGGAATGCCACCTGCTGCCCTTGAGCTATGTTCTGAGTAAATGAATACCTGCAGTATTTTGTAGTGGAACTTATTAAAATATTCTGTAACATTTTATGGTGCAGTCATTATGCACTGTAAGTACTGCTGTATTTTAGTAGCAGGGTGTTTGCTGGTTATACCTGCTGTATCCAGTGACTGCGTATTCTAGTTAAACCTGAAATATTTTTATTTTTAAATAATTTAATGTATTTCCCGTCTACTTCAAGTTGTAAAACTATTCTTCTTTAAGCTCTTCTGTCCAGACCTTACCACAGGAACTATTATTACAAGATGCCTCCCAGACCAGCTGTACCTGTGCCCTATTTCTGGTGTGAGGACACCTTCTGGGGAGCAGACTGAGCCCCTTGCCTCCCCCAAAGCAGTGTTCTGTGCTCTGTGCTGCTGTGAGGGGACTCCTTGCACCCTTAGGCTCCGGCTTTCTGCGCGTTAACAACTGCCTGCTCGGCAGCTGCGGCGGGCTTTGGTGCATGTAATTCTTCCCTGGGGAAATCTGCCTGGTGTTTAACAACCCTTTGCTCTGTAATGGTAGGAACTCTCTCAGAACAAGGATTTCAGAGTCAGATAATATCTTTTCCTGCCAGTGTATTAAAATAGGGATCATTATTTCCTTTAAGGACACAGTTATCTACTGAGTATCTTGAGTACCTTCAAGCCAAACCCTATTGTCTTTCCTTTTTCATGTGAAAAATTTCTTAACCTCTTTCTCTGAACACTTGGTGTGTTAACCTCGGCCTCTTCTCGCATCTTGTTCCTTACGCGTTCTCTTATCTGGACTGTAATATATTTATGCATAAGGAGCATATACTCTATATTTGAGTAGTAGTATTAGAGTACCTCCGGTTGTTATGTTTTTAACAAATATCTGACTGGGCTTCTTCTTGTAATGGTGACCTTAGTGTAATACACACATTCTTCCACTAGCCTTTATTTTAAACTAAGCAAAGGTAATTCAAATCCCTCAGCAGAAACTGTTGCCACTACAGCTGGGGGAGCTCGCCTGACTTAATTTTAGCCTGGAAGCTATGTACTGATTACACTGAAATAAATAGAGGAAGCTAAAGTGTCTCGGTGTTACTGGGCTGGAATAAACTTTCTTCATTACTAACTCCAGTTACACAGATAGTTTCAAATGGGTAGAGCTCTGTTCAGTCATCAGCACCGCGTGCTGGTGACAAGGGATTTCTGACATCTGGTGTATACCCTGAAGCTGATGTTAGCTGTGGGCTGGTCTAGGCTACTGCATCTGCTGGAAATTTCAACACTCTGCTTGTTGGGACTTGGCATCTCCAAGGATAAAGGACGGGACTGTTATAAAAGAGTATGAGGCATGTCAGAGATCCTTAAAAACTTCAGCAGTGGCTATTGCGCTGTTCTTGTTTTGCAGACGAGACCAGGAGAATGACTCACAGTGAAGGGAACATTTTTTTTTTTTTTTTTTTTTTTTTACCACCCTGACTCATGGTGAACTTGCCAATAAATCTCCCCACCCTTTGAAACCAGTCTTGACTCACAGTGAAGTGATGAGGGGAGAGAAGCACGAGGCTCATGACCCAATCGGTGGGGTATGTAACGCTTGTATAAATCGGATCTCCCCTGGGAGGAAAGTGTGTGCGGGACGTGCTCATCTGGGCCACCAAATGGGCCTTTGAAACGACGGAGAGGGGTAACTTTTCTAGCCATGGTCTAGGGGAGAGATTTTGCTTCCTCCAGCTCTGAACCCCCTCCTGAAATACCTCAGTCTAGTCAGGGTCAGAGGCTTGTGAATTTTCCAGCTGTGAACTACGCCCAACCCCTTTGGAGCTCGATTGTGCCCCTCCTCCTGGGGGCAACTTCAGCCCTTTGCTGTGCTAGCTCGATTCCTTTAGTGAAAAAGGAATTACTGCTTTACCTAGAAGAGCGACTGAGGCTCAAAATGCCAAGTCCCTGCCAGGATTTGGAGAAGATGGGGTTGGAGATTGCTGCCCTCGTTCACAGGACCAGCGGCAGTCTGCCAGGGCTGCTTTCCCAAGTACTCCTCTCCATACAAATCAAACAGCTCGTCCTTCATCAAAGAGATTCTCCGCCTCTTCTGCGAGAATTCAGATACATCCACATTTGAACTCAGTTTGCTGGAGGGTATTGTGGCTTTTGGGATATCACTGAAAATGAGTTTCACTTAAGAAAGTATGTTTTATTGCCTCAAAGTACTCATGTAAGAAGGCACTTCTGTTACAGCCGTGTTAAGAGCATTAAGCTTGCAGTAAAATGACCCCACTGTAGTTATATCATGGTCGGCATGACGCTGGTGAGGGTGATGTCCCCAGCAATGCAGAGTTTGGTGATCTCGTTCAGCTTCTTCTCACGGAAGCTGTACTGCAGCAAGTGAGCGTCGTCCACCGCTACCTTGAAGTGATCCACCTCGCAAAGGATCTGGAGCTGAAATAAAAATCCCAATTAAGCCAAAAGATAACCATCGGATTTGTTGGAGGAAGTTTTAAACCCCGGACTCGAGCAGGCTGGCACTGGCTGAAGGCTGCTGCCGGCGGGATCCGGCCCGGTGGCATGTGGACAAGCTGGTGCAGCAACTCTTGGCTGCAAAAAACACCAGTGACCTTTGCCTTCCCCAAAGCCCTGCTCTACTCTTCCTCCTTTGTGTTTTAGCCCCCAGTTTCCGTCTCCTCGTGACTATGACGGTGTTTCCAAGAAGCAGGACCCTGCGGTTCGTGCAGCGAGAGCTTTACTCTCACCAAATGTGAACCTCCTTTGCAGGAGAAAAAGCTGGTGAAGGGAGCTCGGCTGCTACCAGGGATAACGCTTTCTAGAAAGCTGCCCAACACCTGCTGCAGAACGACGGTGTAAATAAGCAGGATTTGATAATAAAACGGAATAACAAATTTTTTGTTACCTTGAAAGGTTTTCCAGCTTCGAAGGGAAACCTAGGAGCTGTCCTGTCCTCCTTTCCCCAATTATTCTGGAACATCGAATTGCAGACAATGACTTTCCTGTTGTCTTCCTTAAAGCGGGGGTTAAAGTGGAAGGCAACGTCATTCCCTCTCTTGAAATCCAGTGAAAACCTGCAAAGGCAATAATGGATGTGCTGCTTTTCCTACAAAGTTTTGCATAACGCTTGATTTGACACCGGGCAGGTGTTACTCAGGAACAGAAAGCAACTTCCAGCCCCCTCCCTGCTCCATCCAGGAGCCCCCCCACACCCCCACTACCTGTTTGGGTTGGGGTTGACAGTCCCCGTGATGGTTATGAGCATCCGAGGGACGAGTCCTGCCTGCAGGGGCAGCTCGAAGGGGACTTTCTGGGAGACAAAGGGGATTTGGTGTTAGCAGAAAACCACTTCCAAAGCCCGACTGGCTCTCAGTGTGACAACGCACCGAGGCAGCCCCGTGACAGGGTGACAAACCCATGCCCCCCCCCCTCAAGGGGACAGCCGGCCCCAGGTCCCTCCCGTGGCCAGGCGACAGCAGGCAGCGAAGACCCAGAAACCCTTAGATGATGGAGCCCTTACCATCGGAGGAGCCTGCCCCCCCTGAGGAGGAGGGGCCCCAAATCCAGGGCCACTGGGCGGTTGTCCAGGGGTAGGGTAGGGCCCTGGTCCTGCTGGTGCTCCGGGGAATGCTCCAGGGGCTCCTGGATATGAGCCGTGTCCTGCTGGATAAGCTCCTGGTGCTCCAGGATAAGCTCCTGGTGCTCCAGGATAAGCTCCTGGTGCTCCAGGATAAGCCCCGGGTGCTCCAGGGTAGGGCCCCGGTGCTCCAGGGTAGGGCCCCGGTGCTGCTGGTGAGCCGGGGTAGGTCCCGGGAGGGCCGGGGTACGCCGGGAACCCCCCGGCAGCCGGCGGCTGGTTCCCCCAGGAGGGCCAGCCCTGGGGCGGGGGGGCAGAGGGGTTCGGGTTGTTGCCGGTGGACAAGGCGTCGGATAACTGGGGGCAGAGAGGAGAGGAGGAGGGTTAGGCGGGTGACGTTAATGTTGGGGTCGGGCTGAGTCCTCCGGCACGCGGCTTTTGTGGCCTACAGCGAGCGCCGAGGGCAAGAGCTCAACCGCCGTCCCCAAAAACCAGTAAATCCCAACGGGAGTGGAGCAGGTTAACGAAGCCACGCTTCCACCCCTCCCGAAGGTCCCTGCTTCAAGGCAAGTAAACAATCACAGCCCCCACCTCTTTTTTTTTTTTTTTTAAAAGACAGCCGTACTTACGGAGAAACCGTCTGACATTTTTCCTAAAACAAAAAGACAAAGGACGCTTAAGTCATTTTTAACACACACCATCCGAAAAAGAGAAATTTTTTGAGAAGAGTTGCAGTTTCACAGCAGCAACGGGCTGGGATTTGTAAGTCCCCCGTCACGTACCCCGCCAGGCAGAGCCGACAGCGCCGGTACCGCAGGACAAACCCTCTGCTACCTGCGGGAGAGATCGTGGGTCACCACCACGAGCAGCCCGAACACCCGCCGGGTGCAACCGCCCGCTGCGGGGTTGGTGTTAATGCATCTCCACCGCGGGCCCCGCTGCGCTCCCGGGGCCGAGCGGAGAGGGGCCAGGGGCCGTGGTGGGGACCCGGTGCTGCTCTGCCCTGAGAGCTCTCCGCTCCCTCCGGCCTCCTGATGGGTTTTCACAGGGTTTTTTTTTTGTTGTTTTTTTTTTGGGGGGTTTTTTTTTTTTTTTTTTAGCTCCCAGGGAAGCACCGCGCAGCATCGCCCACCCCACGAGCACCTTCCAACTCCAGGAACCACGGGGCAACGCGGAGCTCTGCGTTTCGTCTACCCCCAAAAATGCCCGCGCCAGCTCTGCTGCGCTCAGAAACCAGGAAGATTTAATCCAGCCACAAAACACTTTTTATAAAGAAAAAAACAAAAACAAAAACAAAACAAAACAAAACAGAAGGGCAGTGAGAGGTGAGCTGTTCTTTCTGCCTCCAGCAAACCCGCTGCGCAGCCAGCTCTCCGCTGTCACCCCGACGAGCTCCCCACCAGCGAGGCCCTTGCTGGGACCAGCCGCTAAAAAAGCTAAAAGCTGCTTTACAAGTTTTGTGAGTCCACGCGGAACCCCTCTGCGGCGGCAGGGCCAAACGCACACCTGCCTGCGTGCAGGAGTAGCCAGGGCCCAGAGCTGGGCTCCTCCCGTCAAAGAGAGCATTCATAAAGGAAGGGGGGGGGGGGGGGAAGGGAATAAAAAGGGAGGGGCAGAAATGGGGAAAGAAAAGGAAAATTCCAAATTGAAAATAGAGAAGGAAAATTCTCTCCGAATGAAACATGCGGTTGCACAAAGGTCCCGGCAAATCTGGCCGGCCTGCTTTAGGCATAAGAACCGCCCCCTCCCCAAGTTTTTACAACCAACACATAACCCCCTTCCCTGCAAAACACTCATCCTCCCGAGCCTGGGTGATCTTTAAGCCACTTTTTCAACCAGCATCCAGAAACCCAGATTGCCCGAGCAGCCTGTACCTTGCAAAGCTTTTCTTTGCCTTCTGGGCAATAATTTTTTTTTTTTTTTTTGATTTTTTCTTTTTAAACCCGTGGGTTGGCCGGTTGTTTTTCCCGTGGGTGCTCACACCGCTCCTGCAGCCCCCCCCCCGCGCCGGAGCCAGCCTGGTACGCGGCCGCCGAGGGCTTGTGCTGCTCCGGCGAGGGGTCCCGCCTGCTCCCCCACCTCTTCTCCCCTCCATCCCGCGGGGAGAAGCAATTTTGCTCCCTCGCATTGATTTCTCATCGCTTCGGCCCCCGGATTTGGGGGGGGGGGGGGGCGGCAGGAGACTCGTATCTCCCCACCGAGTTTGGGATGGCCGCTTTGGTATTTGTAATTTCTCCCCTCCGGCGCTATTTCTGCAGTCACTTTCCTGCGTGTTTTTCTGGGCGTGTCTGCCTCCCACGCACTGACGCTCGCTCCCACCCCTCCGCGTGGTTTTGGGGGCACGGACAGGGCCACCCCAACACCCCGAAATTGCAAACAGCCTTGTATCTCCTGAATATTCCCCGTCCCACCGCTACCCCAAGCATCCCCTACGGCCGGCTGCTGTTAACTGCAGAGCCCACGGCCCTGCTGCTGCGGGAGTGTGTCCCAGCTCCCACTCCCACGCGCAAGGGGACGAGCGCAGCCTCGACCCCTTCTTTGCAAGGCGATGTGCGCCCCCACTCGGGACCCCCCCACCCCGCCACGGGTGATGCGCTGAATCCCCACCCCGCCGTGGGGACGAGCACACCCTTAACTCCTTCTTTGCAAGGCAATACGTGCCTTCACCCCACTGCTGCTCCCCCTGCTCCCACTCGGGACCCCCGTGGGTGGGTGCAGCCACTCACCTGCTGTGCGGTGGCTGCCGGCGGCGGCTGCGGGGCTGGGATCCCACGGGACACGGGTGGCCCCGGCACCGGCAGCGGGGACCCCGCCTGCTCGGGGCGGGGACGGGGCGGGGACCCCGGGGGTGTGCCGCGACCTGCCGCCCACGGAGCTCCCGGCGCATCCCCGCGGCCCCCCCGCACCTCAAGCGTGGGAAAGGGGCTGGCAGCGCGAAAACAGCATTTTCGTTCCCTTTATTCAGTGGTGACACCACCAGCGGGCAAAACACGGGGGGGGGAAACGTGGGCTTCTCGCGCTTTTTGTCTCGAGTGGGTCTATTTCCACGTAGCAGAGGTTTCCATTTTGCTGCCCTGGCAGAGCCAGTCCCCACCATGAGTCACTGGCAAGATGTAGGGCTTGCAAGATATTTGTCTGCAGACCTCACAGCTCCATCCCCCCCCATTTTATTGCAGCTCAGTAAAACACAAATTTACTTTACAATTTTGAAAGTTTTCTGCTTCCCTCTGGAGGCTGCCAAGAAGAAAAAAAAAAAAAAAAAAAAAAAAAATCCAAAAAAGCTTTGGTTTTCACCTGCTGCAGCAAGGCCGGCAGAGGAGCGGCGCTGGAAAGCTGTTAGCCACAGCTGTCACTTCAGTGAGTGCAATTTTACTGCAGGTTGAGGGGGAATCATCTCCTCTGCTCAATGGGCTCCACAGTCTCTAGCAATAGGAAAGAAAAAAGCACGTTTTTCTGCTGAAATTCTGATCTGCTGCATGGCACTGCTGGTAGAATAGGGTAGAATAGAAATAGAAATAGGAATGGAATAGAAATAGGAATGGAATAGAAATAGAAATAGGAATAGAATAGAATGATAAATAATATAAATAATATAAATATAAATATAAATATAAATATAAATATAAAGAGAAGAGAAGAGAAGAGAAGAGAAGAGAAGAGAAGAGAAGAGAAGAGAAGAGAAGAGAAGAGAAGAGAAGAGAAGAGAAGAGAAGAGAAGAGAAGAGAAGAGATTTCAGTTAGAAGGGATCTACAATCATCATCTAGTCCAACTGCCTGACCACTTCAGGGCTGACCAAAGGTTATTAAGGGACACACACTGTAACTGGTGTCATTAAAGACATAGAAACCACTTATTTAAAGCAGTGGCTGAACTAAATGGCTTAGCTGATACTGCAGCTGATACAAAAAAAAAAAAAAAAAAAAAAAAGGCAAAAATCTGTTCAGTTTGGTTTTAATGAATTTTAGTATAACTCCTTCCAGTTCATCTCTGCTTACCTAAGAGTCTGGGCTTTAAAAGAGAGCAGCCTCCTCTCTACTGGGCCACCAGCCTGGGTTTCAGCATCCTTCAGCCTCATGTAATCCTTGCCACAGGGATTCAGACCAAACCGAAGTGTGCGAAATGCCGCTGGCTGAGAAATGCCAGAGATGCCCGAGGGAGCGGGGTGCTCCACTCAGGGAAATCCTTAAACAGGGAGTGCTGCTTCACTTGCCTTTCACAGCACCCAAACCTCACCGCAGTAAATGCACACTGTGATATCTTTGGGATGTTTTAGGGCAAAGGGACCTGGAGAGGCTTTAAGCCAGGACTGTGGAAGGATCCTTGATATGTCGCTTGAGTATCTGGAACTTCCTCAGCCTGTAAGAGGGCGAAGGAGACAGCTGCTGTCCAGAACAACCCTTCGTGTCCCTGCTCCATCATCTGTCTAAAACACAGCCTGTCTGGGAGTGTATTGATCAAGAGGTGCACACATGCAGAGCACATGTGAATAAAGTTGATTAAAGTGACACGTGCAAAGCGGTTTTAAGCAGGTGCCGGTGACTTCTGCCTTCCTGGAGAAGGCTGTATCAACTCGTTAGTGCACCACTTTTCCCCTTCCTCCCTAAGGCCCCCCCTCCCCGACGTCTTTGGCAAGAGATATTTTCATTAAAAACCTATACTGCTATTATTTTCAGGATTTCACTCAAAGGCTCCAAACATGTACTGAAAAAGTTTGCCTGTTTTTTTTTTTTTTTCCCAGTTCCAACGCCGTAAGCTTCGCGCTTCCAGTTATGCAACAGCCACGCAGTGTTAAAAAAAAAAAAAAAAAAAAAAAAAAGTTTGACCAAAAGGGAAAACACGACTCAAAATCTGAGCTGATTTCTTCACTTAAATAAATCAGCCAGCAGCAAGGATGACGAGTGAGCGACCCTGCAACGTTGACGGGGTGGGTGCTGAGAGCCCTGTGCACGCAGAGCTACGAAACGGCCGCGTTTCACTTTGCTCCCCACCGCCTGAGTCATCCCGTTGTGACTCACATGGTCGGACGCGGAGGTCTGGCGACGGTGGTTTGCAAGCTTTGCCTCTCGGGATGGGGAAAAGAGAGAGCAGCTGGGTTTGTTGCCAGAGCCCTAAGCAAGCAAGGCAGCGCACGGACGCACCGGCTCTGTAGGAGACGTAAGGCACAGCGAGCACGTCTCTCGCTTGCCATGTCGCAACGCCTTGTGTTGCACGGCCTTGCAACCTGGGGCTGGCTGCTTTTCAAAAGTGGATGAAAAAAAAAAAAAAAAAAAGTAATTTCTCAAAAATAGGCATCTAATTGGACTCGGGATTTTTTTTTTTTAAAGCACTTGGAAGTATCCTGTTTTTGTTTTAGAAAGTCCTAACGTAAAATGCAACCCGGCTTGGCGCCACGTACAATTTACAGCCCCGAACTGCAAACCCAAGGGGTGGGAGGGACGCAGGACCCAGGCAGGCGGCTCGGCCGTCACCTCGTGCCGTTTCTTAGGGATGAACTCTCTGACGTGCCCTTCCCCGTGGCCAAACACAGTTGACTTTCCCCATTTTAAAATGCCCAGCGCTTATCTGATCACATGCAAGAGCCAAATGATATTTAATGGCCATCCAGCAATAAAGCTAGAGATGAGCTATTGAGCTCAATTCCACAGTGGGCTCAGGGTCAGTCCAGGACTGGGAGTAACTTACCCACCAACTCTGGGTTCCCAAAACACTCAGGCACCATTACCCTCTACAGAAACATGCATTATTAAACATCTTCCTCTAGCAATAACCTTTGACAAGCTGCTCTGCAAGAGTTTCAAAGCACCACTGTCTACTGAGTGCTGTTTATTGAGGGGCTTGACTGCCGTTGTGTCACAGCAATGCTTACCATTGGGTTAACTAACTACATGCTGTGGGATTTTAAAAGAAGCCATATAAGCTGAAGAACTGCGCAAGACTGAGTAGGTAAAAATCTAATTAATGGAGACTGGATGCTACAAGCCAGGAGCAGAGGTGATAGGAGAGAAGGGGCTGGAGGATGCTGAGTTCAGCTGCTTAAGGCTTGAGGCTTGGTTTGTTTTGAAGAACAGTTTAAAAAAATATATACATTTTATACATAAAAAATATATATATATACACACACATAAATATATACACACAAAAATGACAGCTTGCAATTATAACTCGGAATTATCAACCCTTTAATTGGTCCCAGTACCCTTCACTCTACGCTGACTTACATCAGGAGGTAATGTCTTCTGCATCTTTTATTCTGGTAGATACCGAGTCTCCCAGAAGCAAAAGACCCCACCCCAATTGGCAATCTAGCTCTACAAAGTTAAATAACTTTAAAGCAGTAACTTCAAACTGCCTATTGGAAATTAGTAAACAGAAAGCTGCTTCTCTCTTGTCTAAGAACCCTAGAGTGGTTTGGGTCGGAAGGGACCTTAAAGATCACCCAGTCCCACCCCCCTGCCCCAGGCAGGGCCCCCTTCCCCCAGCCCAGGGGGCTCCCAGCCCCGTCCAACCTGGCCTTGAACTTTCCTGACAGTAAATTAATGGGAAGGAAATCAATCTAGAGGGCAAGAAGCTCGATGGCACAAGAGATGCACTCCCCTTTTCAGAGCAGAACAAGGCACATCCTCGTGGCTTCATCAGCCTCGTGATTTCTGCAGCCTGACTCATGCGTGGGTTCGGCAGGAGCCGCCACGTGCAACGTCTGGGCTGCAGATCTACCACCGAGGCCGTGCTTGGCGCAACCCCAAGGTTTTCAGATTCAGTCACCTCTCCTTCCTCCCCGGGGTGTCACATCATGCCAGTGGCTGAGTCACCTCCGACTCCACCGCTCCGCAGCGATAAAAAACGGGCAGTGCAGCAAAAACAGGCAACGGGTCTTCCCTTTGCGGCCTGCCGGGCTTGTGCGACACCCTCCCAGGGCTTCCAAAAACAGCCTCCTGCAGAGAATCGAGCAGCCCCTCTCCCCCTCATACAGCCCTTTTTGGGGAGATGGCTCGTTCAGGAGCTTCCTTGGCTGCACTACTGACAAACACCCCCCTCCCCAACATCGCCTTGCTCTAGCACTAGGGAAAAATTCAATGGAGAGGAAGGTGGAGAACTTCAGTAACTCAAGTTTGATGGTAAAGAAAGCCAAAGCAGCAGATAAAGGGCATCGACGCTCGCAGCACCATCCCGGCTGCTCACGTGTACGAGCGCGTCTGGACCTGCTCTCTTTACCCTGTAGCAGCTCTTTCTTACTGACTCTTTATAAAGCACAAAGCAAAACTCCTGCCTTGGCAGCTTCCTCCTCATAGAAAACAGAGTACCGGTGTGAAATTGCAGCTCATCCAGTTCCCTCTTGCTCTGACAGTGCCAGGAGAACGGCAAGTCCACCCCCAGAAAGCTCCGCACAGCTCCTAATGCTGGTGCTGTAGATGAGCAAAACCATGCTACAGTTTAAAGCTTTTGTATTATTAAAGATGAATAAACGAGAAGCACTTTGCACTTGACGTGCGGATCTGAGCATTAAATCGCTTTCCAAGCATTAAACGAGCCTTGTAGCGATTTGTGTCAACAGAGATTTACAAAAGTCCTCAAAAACCCCCCTGGCTTCGAACTTAATAGTAACTACCTCCTCCTCGGCACAGCATGCTTCTCTGGGGGCCCTTGAGGAAGGTCCTTTGTCCTAAAGTTATTAAATAAATGGAAGGAAAAATCCCCATAGCGATCCCAACTGCCTGTGCAGGTGGGGTGAAGGACCCCCATGGCTTGTCGCCATCAAAAAGACAAGGTCCTGGTGCTCTTCTTGGCCATGCTCTGTGCTCGCCCAAAGATGCAGCCAGCTCATTCCTTCAGCCTGACAGAAAACTCATCCAGCCTAAAAAGCTGAAAGGAATAGCGCTGTGCTGCAGGAGGGGGCTGAATCAGTTCGTTTGCCCCAGGAAAGACACTTGCTAAGGGGAGCAAAAGCCCCGTGTGATATTGCACTCAGCAAAGGGGGCTGGAGAGAAAACGCGAAGGAAAATGTGAAGGCCGAAGGCAGGAGAGTTCAGGCTGATCCAGCAAAAAGGCAGCTGCAATACTGACCACTCTGAAGAGTTTACCTGAAAATAACTTATTACAACAGCAATCATAGAATCATTTAGGGTGGAAAAGACCTTTAAGACCATTGAGTCTACTTGCAATGAGTGGCTTTTACCACAGCTCAGGAAGCCAAAAGAGATGGGAAAGGGAAGAGCTTTGTAAGAGTCCCTGGCAGTTTAGCAGGCTTTCCTTCTTTGCTGCTAAATTTCTGCAGAGAGCAGAAATTCATTCACCTCTGAAACCTTATGCTAAACAGGGCTTGGATTTAAATCTCATGTACAGTGGGTTTGTGCTGTTCCTGTAGAAATCAAACCTAATGCCGTGCAATACGAATCCGTGCAAAGACACAAGTTATAACGACACCTCCCAAACAGCACTGTAAGTCACTAGTGCTGCTGGTCTTCCTCATTTTTTTTTGTTTCTTTGTTTTGTTTTGTTTGTTTGTTTTGGTTTGGTTTTTTTGTTTGTTTGTGCTTTGTTTGTTTGTTTGTTTGGGTTTTTTGTTTGTTTGTTTGTTTTGTTTTTTTGTTTTTTTTTGTTTTTTTTTTAAATCGAGTGTAATGTTAAAAATAATCAAGAGCAGATACAGCCTCCTGTGCCAGGGAGAGGCCGGCGGGAGGGCTGGGAGCAGCAGCAGTGCCCTCTGGTGATGGTGGGGGCCGGTGGATGGGCGGCCACTGGATCAGAAAGCAAAGGACCAGCGGATCCACACGACAGCCAGGAGCTCATTTTTCCAGCACCTACTTTTTCTTTGAACCACTCCGAGGGTTTTTTTTTTTTTTGCTCGGCGTCGCTCCGCAGACACTCTTTTTTAGCAACTATGTACTCTGACAGCCATTGCAGACCAAGAGGAGAGCACCAAGAGGAGGAGGATGGCGGCAGCAGCTCCGACCCCCTGACGGGACCATCCCCACGCTCCCGGTTACGTGGTGCTGCTCACACTCGGCTTTCCGAGCGGGAAAACAGGGACAGCATCAAGGTTGAAATGCAAACCCGAAAGCGTGATGCAGAAGCTGCTAAGACTTCTAATTTGCCTGTATTAAAAAGCTTTCAAGCTAATCAGCTCTCACGTTGTCTCCTTGAGGAGCGCCAAACGCCAGCACTACACAGCTCAACACGCAGTGAGAAACACCAGGATATTAACGCATCCATTCTTCCCACTTTTAAGCAAACTTAAAAATAGATTATTCTGCCACCTTCTCTGTGCTGGAGGGTGTTGCCCTGTAAGGGAATACAGACAAATTAGAAAGCACAGGATTCAAAACTCCTTTGAACAATTTGTATCATGCAAAGCACTATATAAAGCTTTTGACATCATGCAAATTAAACACGTCCTTGTGAAAAAGCACCATAATACAGTTTTACTTTTCATTATCGTTTAACAGATTAGTAAAATGGAGTATCCTGAGAGATCACCCCTTGTTAGCACGTACTGGGCTCCTACCAGAAGCCACAGATCCACCCCAGAACAACACCGCATTAATTAGCCCGCGTAAGCCCAAGAAGTCACAAATGAAATCTGCAGTCATTTGTCACCTTCTGAATTTGTTTCAAAACCAGATAAATGCCATGTTTGCTTTTAATCAGACATGGAACAGCGCGGATTTCTGAAGAGTCATGGGGTGATTCTGGTGGGAAGGGACATCGGGAGGTTCCTAATCCCCCAGTCGGAGAGGAGCCAGCTCTGAGGTCAGCCCAGACTGCTCAGGGCTTTATCCAGGCTGGTCTTCAAAACCTCCGAGGGTGGAGGTTGCACCACCTCTTTGGGCAGCCCGCTCCAACGCTTGACTGTCCTCACGGTGAAAAAGTTTCTCCTCCTTGTTGCTCTCTTTTGCTTAAACTGCTGCCACCACCCAGTTCCGCAGCAACGCGAGCTGGTGTTTGCTTCAGAACACGGTCTCCACCACCAGCAAGAAGTTTCCCTCTTTAAACCTGAACTGTAAGTAATTCCCCCTATTTCACACCGATGCCAGCTCCAGCCTGAACATCACTTAGAACCAGCTAGTGACAGGGTAAGGCGCAGCAGGGTACCCGACTTCTACCCAACCTCCCCCCGCAAGATCCAACACTTAATAATTTAAACAGCTCATCCTCTCTAGCTCAGAGAAGGGAGTTCCTCCGCAGGGCATGAGATCAAATGCTTACAGTGGCTGCGTGCTCCAGCTCCTCTTCTGGATGAGCTTCCTCCCACTGACAGCCCAGCGCCAGGGTCTCCCCACCAAGGCCACGGCCCCGTTTACACCGCGCTCTGCGGCACCACCAGCTTCTCGCTCTGCCCCATTCAGCGGAACGCTTCGTGGGACGTACGTGGGGTTGTCTCAGAGAAGTTCTCTGGTTTCAAGATAACCAGGGTGGTGGCAGACGGGGAAGAGATAGGGAGATGTATGTTAAGCCATCGTTACTGCCAAGCAAAAGGAATGTGGCGAGCGATGGCACAGCTTGATGCAAGAGTTTAAGGGTTAAGTGACGTGCTACATGAATTCCCTCCCCTAATCACCACAGGAATCTGCAAGAGCCGGTAAGATCTTGTGCAGACAGCAGAACTAGGACCTGAAATTAAACACACGGGCGTGCCGAGTGGCTTCTCAGCACAGCCCTTCCCTGCTGAGTGTCATGAGACAGTTGGAAAGGGGACAGAAATACAGGTATTGCTATTTTATCTCTCCATCTCCCATTTAACAGGGAGGGCACCCTTTGGAAAGTGATGCCACAGAAGCAAACTGCTTGTACTACTACACCAACTCTCCCTTTTTACTTACCCAGGTGTCACTCGTAATTTCACTTTACCATAATTTATCACCTGCTGAACAGGGGACACAAAGTCCCCATTCTTCCATCTTCACTGCCATTGAACGGGTCAACTCGGCAATCAGCAGATCCCTGAAACAAAAGCACCTGCTTTCAGCAGTGCCTTGGTGCACACAGCTTTTAATGCTGGATTTCCCACATGCCTGAGAGATTCTGCAAGGCAAGAGTGGCCCAAAAAAAAAAGAGAAAATTTTACCTTGTTGTCACCAGCTTAACGCGTGTGTGCACGCACGCGCATTTTCAGATGAAGTGAATTCAAATTCCGCTGAATTCGGAGAGCAGGAGGAAAAGTTAAGGGTTGATCCACCCGCCACGACTACCTTGATTTGGGGAAAACCAGTCCGATACGAAGTGAAGGACGCCAGCGCCGTGCCTACGCAGCCACTGGCCCCCTTCAGAGCACACCCCCAGCCCCGAGCCCTGCCCGCACACCGGTGACTCCCAGAGCTCCCGCCTCCCCCGGCACCACAAATACCTGTACCCACCCCCACACCACCCGTCCGGATCCAAGCCCACTCGAGGTCTTTCTCCAGAGGTCTCGGGGGTAAGCACACTACGCCGTGTAACGCAGCGACAGTCAATCTTGCCGCAGGTACTAGTCGATCAGAAGTTTGTATTAAAAGTTGAAACTTGCACTGCTGGCTTGGCCAGACGGCACTGCACGTGCTGATCTGTTACGTGCCCGGTGAATAACGGCTGTTTGCAGGGTATAGAATTGCATTCTACTGGAATTTTGTGCTTAACTTCAGCAATTGGAAAGCCGCTATTAAGAAAAATACGTAGGAAAAGTTTTGTCTTTAGATGCCCAAAGGGCTCTTGCAGCACAGAGGCTGAAGACGACGCTCCTATCAACATCCCACCCCTCGGACTGCGCGGAGGGGGTTTTAAACAGGTTGGTCAGGGAATCAAAGCCTGGGCACAGAAATGGGCCTGAACTTGCCTGGAGAGAGTTGAGGCGTTTGCCTAAACAGCAGGCCAGAACCAACACAGCCCCTGGCGTGGATCTAACCATGCACACACTCACCGCTTTGCAAGAGCCCTGGAAGTTTTCAAAACCAATCACTCCCCAAAGAGTTACGTAGGTCTCGTGTCAGATTCCACCCTCAGCCCCCCACCAAATTTGATTAGAGGTTTTTGGGTCTGCAGGGCAGTCAGCAATTAACATAATTGGGTCAGCATTGCCACGTCTTCATCTCTACCAATGCAAGAGTTGCAAGAGCAATCTGAGAAATCCAGACAATCCCCCAGCTAAACACTGTGAAGATAAAGCACTGGCCACGCATTGTATTGTTCTACTGATAGATGTAAGGATTACATTTGGTGCACAGTTTAAGAAGAGATTGTTTTCTGAGCCTTAAAAGTGGGTAAGTATTTTTGCTTCCACTCATTGTTGCTTACTGCTGCCATTTTTACCTTCCTGAAAGGGTCGAGGTGTGGACGGAGGTGGCAGCACTGGCCAGCTCAGTGTGAATTGTTCTGCAAGCCATGACCTAGGAAGAATGTAAATGTAGTGATGAATGATGCCCAAACCTTGTTGTTCACACACTGCTGTCAAGCCCTGGAGTTTCTCCGTTATCCACCCTATCCCATCAAAGTCCTGATAAGTGTATAAAAATACTGGTTTGCAGGTCACTTACCACATCCACATATGTCAACCTAGCCTAGGAATTGTTCAGAGCCAGGAAAAACACACACCACGCTCTTCACAGGTAAAAAAAATAAGTCCCATTCCTCCTCTAGAACAAGCAAGAGCAGATCTTTTTTCTCTTAATTAACACAGCAGTTTGTGAAGAGGCAATGCCTGAGGCTGACATGCTACAACATAGCAATGGTCGCATCCCCACTCAATATGCCTTATGCACAGGCTGCAAAAATTACAAAAGGAAGAGGAAAAACACTCACAGAAGTCAAGTAATTCTGATTTTATATTCAGTCTTTGCAAATCAAGGATGTCCTATTTTTACTATTCATTCAAGGCAAAAGTCTACACAAGCATGTCAAAAGCAGTAATTGAAAAACAGTAAACACAACAGTCTTGAAAATACGTTTAATGTCTAATCTTATACAAAAGTGACAGCATTTTCAAAAAAATATCAAATCCTGTATTTATAGCTTCTCACTATCATACAGCAATATTTGTTTCATCTAAAGAAAATACAGCAGCAGGTGATAATCTATACTTTAAAGATGTGATTGCTTATATTTCATATTGTAAACAAATGCAGTATGTCAATCTCAAAGCACAAGTCAAAACGAACTTCTCAGCAATTTAACTCAAATGATGCATAGAAATGTACAAATTCCATTGCAAAAGCTTCAGGCCAGAAGTTGCTCACACTTGACATAACATGTGATAAAGTTACTACACGGTATATAGTGACAACTTGAGTGTTTTTTTTGTGGTTTTTTTTTTTTTTTTTTTTACACAATAGATTAACAGGTATACCCTTTTCACTGCTATGCAAAGAACTTTGCTCACAAAAACAAAGGGGTTATGAAACAGTTTTCATGACCTCAAGAAATACGAATATACATTGAAAAACATCCCATATATACTGAATTTTAGCCTAAATGTTCCAGTAATAAATCCTGCCTATTTCAGGAAGAACCTAGAAGTCTAGTTACTTTTACAAATCCCCTTTCCAAAAATCATTACTTGCTACGTTTGCTTTATCCTTTTCCTACCTCTTCCCATTCCCTGCAAAGACACACGGCCAGTGCAATTTCAAACTGGAGTGCTGCTACTGCACGATCCATTCATTTGGAATAAATGTTTTTTCATTACATTGATTTATAATCTAAGGCTGCAGGTATCAAAAAAGCACTTGAGCAAATGTAGTCGATGTTCTCCTATGTTAATTTTTAATTAGTCTTGCCAAGATCTAAGCCAAAGCTGTTGGGGGGGGGCAACTGGGGCTTGTTTAAGGTTAGTGAAGACTTGTACTTCTTGTTCCTATTTCTAGAGTTACAGATGCAAGGTTTTAAGCTGAAATGTTAAGCATTTTCGTTCAACTCCAGTATTGTCTTCCTATAACAAGAAAAATCCACATACCTTTGCTATTAGGTTTCATGACATTAGATTAAAACAGTCACAGCTAAGCTGACAGCTTTCTTCTGCAAAAATATTGCAGGACTCTGCCATAAAGGCTAAGACTACTAACAAGCATCACCACCAGGTCACCCCATTTGTTTTTAAGAAGTCCATCACATGCATGCAGGAAGCCACAATAAGGTACTGGAAGAGAATTAACTCGCTTTCACAGTTTCATGATACAAAGACTCCCTAATGAGCTACCATGTTAAGCAAAATTTGTTCCTAATTCTACCTACAGAGGCTAAATTAGGATATCCCCAGCTGGGGATGAAACAAACAGTCCATGGTCAAAGTCTAGGCTATGAAGTACCACGAAGAACGCCAGAACTCCTCACTGACACTTGGCTGTGTGTCTTGATAATGCTGAACTAGCATTGCAGCAAACCCCCTGCATGCTCTTCGCACAGAGATGGCAAGAATATGAAAACTTACTGCAGTGCCCCTTCAGAGGCGGCGGGGGGGAACAGCTACACAGCAGCGCACAGGCTTCTAGACATTCAGCTACTCCCAAATTGCACTTGGTCAGTGAGGTATGCAGACACCCAGGTGAGAACAGAGGGCTTGTCCCCATGACAATACTCAGCAGAGCCCCAACGAGACCTCCTTGTTCTCAACTGTGGCAATAAGGATCTTTGTAGCTGACAGAACTAAATGCCATGCCAAAAACTGCTGGGAAGGGAATCGTCCGGTTGGGTTTTTTCATCTTTTAAGCTCAAGTTCAGTTTCCAGGGACTCTGAAAAAGTCTGCCAAGTTTACACCACCCAGCAGCAAGGTCAAATTTTAAATGACTAGAACCCAGGTTAGAAATAGGGAAGTACCTTACCTAAGTGGAAATCAGTTTCTCTTTACATAGACCAAGCCAAACTTCCAACCACCACAGAATGAGAACTGGCAAAATGATGTCCTCATTTGCATGCATAAAACTCACATTTGTTGATTCAAAGTTAACTGCACATCCAGGTTATTTAATTTGCACATAAATGCCTGTTTGTGAACACGAACAGTGTGCTGACAAGTCAGACCAAGCATTTCAAATGCGTATCTTCTCTTCCGTAGTCCCAGACTGAGCAATTGCTTTGAGTATATACAAAATGCTGAGAAAACCTTCAAGTTCACATGCTCTGTCTCTTTGTTTGAATTACTGTAGCATGTTCAAAAATTAGATTTCTTGACAAAAATCTTGAAACACCTTTTACCGACATTTTAGAATAACCCGAAAATAGACAAAATATGACTATCCATCCATTCAGTGACCAGCACAAGTCTGGCAACAAGACTTAAAGCATTCACGGAAATTTAAGAATTTTTTTTAAGTCCTTGGGCCTGATTCTTTATAATCCTTACTTGGCAACTCCCATTTTTCCAAGGAATACTCGCCAACATAAGAATCACAGATGTTAGTTTTATTTCTGCTCTTCATAATTCATTTTATTAAACCAAATAATTATGCCAGCATATGAGCAAGGTAAATCTATGCAAACTGCTCCTTCATACCTCAAATGCACATACAAGAGGCAAGTATTCTTCATAGCCCCAAACATTACTGAAACAAAAACTGTAAAAATCTCTGTAAGTAGTGGATGAAGGTGGAAAGCTACAGTATTTTGTTGCCCAGAATGTATTCAACGGTAAGGCTGCAAGAGACAATAATTCATGGTCAATACAGGCTTTTCACAAAGCAGTTAATTCAGTTACAAAAATTCTTAATTAAAAACAAATTCAACCTTATAATTTGTTATTCCCTCCCTCTGTGCCCCAGAAGCAATCTCTCTAAATTCTGAAAACTAGAATATTTTTTCTTTCAGAAATTACTACAAGGCTTCACCCCCTTTTTTGCCTTTTAGAGGCGGCTTTCCAAGCAGTAGAAGACCACTGTAATGTGATGCTTAGACACACTACAACTTGATATACCTGGTATACCGAGTTAAGCATTTAAAAAGAAGTTGGCTATTACTGCACTGACTACGGAAATAAGACAGATGTGCTGAAATGCCTCACCTGCACTAACAGGTCTTACGCTACTGCATTTCCACGCTTAGAAGCGTAATGTTTTAGAGTAATTCAGGACCAAAATCAAATACTCACATGGGGACCACCAGGCATTGATGGAGCACCAGCAGGACCAGATGGCACTTGAAAAGGATTAGGGGGCGTAGGATATAGTCCTGGAGCTGGATATGATCCTGTGGGTGGAGGAAATGGACCTGGTGGTGAAGGTCCCCACGTTCCAGGTGGGACCGTGCCCCACGGTACTGTTGGCGCGGCCCCTGGAGTCTGGGTAGGAGCGGAATATGGCCCTGGGGGTGGATATGGCATGCTAGGTGCAGGATACTGCCCTCCCATTGTTGGTCCCCATGCTCCAGAGGGCATGGATCCCCATGGCCCAACAGGAGCAGGAGGTGCAGCCGGCTCTGTTGGACCACCGTAAGGTCTTGGAAGCTCTGGAAAGGGCATATTTGGTGGAGGATATTGCCCTGGTGGGACAGGACCTGGCACAGTTGGGGGTGGATATGGACCACCAGGAGGAGGGCAAGAGGGTCCAGTAGGAGGAGGAGGAAATGGAGCAGGCGGTCCGGGGGGCATTGAAGGATACATTCCCGTTGGGGGAGGTCCGAATGGCACGCTGGAAGCCGATGTATTTGGCGGCAGTCCGGTTGGCGCCGTAGGGGGAGCGCTGGGGTTGTTCCACGGGTTTGAAGCTGGCCAACCCTGCGGCGGCTGACCAGGCTGCTGACCAGGTTTTGTACTGCTCACTTTGGAGGTTTTAGCAGGCGACTGATCTGGTAAAGCATCTGCCAACTAAAAGATAAAGCGGCGGTGAGAACGTAAAATGCCGACTGGACTTAGCAGTTGCAGACATTCACCCACTACGTGTATATGTTTCAGCTGCCAAAACGAGAGGAGTAGAGCTCTTTGTTGCTGCACAGAGATGATTACATTCATTTTTGTGCAGCTTCTATCATTAAGGTAGAAGAGGCATTCTGACGTGCTGCGGTTAGAAAACCAAAGGTAAAAGGCAACCTACCACACACAGCAATAAACAATTTCAGCGCAAATCCGAAAAGATTTTCATTGATTTCCATTATAGCTATTCTAACTCCATTAATGCACAACTCCTTTGTTAATATCAGAGCAGAAGAGAACCCACAAGGCACCTAGCAGCTTCATATGTTTAGTCCACAGATCGCTACATCTGCCCAAAAGGAAAACACAACTGCAACACAGAGGAAATCGCCTCTCAACTGTGAGCTCCTTCTTGAAAAAGTATGTCAACTTTTAGAATGAAGTAACACAACTGGCTGATCTTCAGGAAAGAAAAACTGTTACTTACCGAAAAATCATCAGTTCCAGACATTTTGCTGAAAAGTAAGGTAAGATAAAGTGAAATTTGTTGAAAATAATAAAAGTATTTCAAGTAAGAGTTCACGAAGCGAACTCTACATTTGTCTCACTCAAACCACAGTCAGCGTTGGAACTGGCAGCGCCTCTTAGCAATGGCTTTGTCTTAATGACTCTGGCCTGTATGGATATGTGCTACCCAAATACTTTCCTCTTAATAAAGTTCTCATTAAAAGGAAAGTCTTCAGCCTCTGCCTGTCTCATCTCAGACAGGACCAACACATAATGTAAATGGGTCACATTACACAAAGAAAAAATATTTCAAATATTCACATCGAGCAGGCAGCCTATCCACACAGTGATGCCTGGAAAGTATTCAAGATCTTTTCTGAACTGAGACTCAGCAAAGGTATGGCAGGCTGCTTGCAGGTGAAATGAATGCATCTAAAACAAAACATTATTAAATCCCCACGCAGATCTTATTGTCAGAAATAAAAGAACTATAGTTTGCTGACGCTTTATCCTCCAGTTATTTCAGAACCTCCTAAAGGGGGTGGGTGCTCTTATTTCCATTCGCCTAACCCTTAACCGAACGCAAACATGGCAAAGGTGTCATTAACGCGTTACCTAACTTCTGACCTCTCAACCCTTCCGAGAAGCATGGAAAATAGGGACCAATGAGTCATGTGCTATCTTTTCATGAAGGCAACTACTGCACTTAGAGCTTTCTGGAGCTTCACCACAGTGAACACTGACTGGCTTTGTCAACCCTTATTAGCCGTACAAAAGGGCAGCTGAAGTTATATTCAGTTTGGCTAAATAACGACAAATATGAATAGCAGTGAAGAACTGTTAGAAACATGACCACTAGCAGGTGAAATAGGTGGATACACCCCAGCGCCACCAGAAGGTTTTAGGGGAGACCACAGGAGATATATTGGCATTTTTCTTCCTCCTATGTGCCTCTCTAAGTCAAGGGTATTAAATACTACTGCCAAGTTGACCCCCGCAAGAAACAATCCTTGCTGATGGTGAAGACCTGACTTCTAACAGAGACTGGTCTCAGGGATGGAGGTTTGTACAGACAGCCTGTGACAAATAGGTTAATAAGCTCCATTAGATTACAAATTACATACTGCAAATAATGAGCTTATAAACTAGAGTCAGAAACTGTATTGTAAATTTATTACCATCTACACAATTTCCTAATCTGGATCAGAACAAGGGGCCATTTACTCAGCATCTCATTTTATCTTCAACAGTGACCAGAAGGGAAGAACAAGAACTGAGATGACACTCACTCCAACACTTCAAAGATCCCAAGCTCAGAGACTTCCTAAATTGTAGACAATTTCTGTGGAATGGCAACCCTCAAGTAATTTCTTTTCCACAAACACATCTACTTCCCCCGCTTGTACCTACAACATCTATGAGCAAGAAACTCTGCAGGGCTGCTATTTGTTAACAAAAAGGCACTTTCCTTTCTGTTATAAACCTGGCTCTTACTAATTTCAGTTGTTGCTCCTTCATCCTTGCAGCGGAGGAAATCAATAAGTCTATTCTTATCTACGTTGATCATTATTCTACAGATTTTTATTGTTTTCTTTTAGCTGGTCCTTCTCTGGGCTGAGCTCGATCTTATTTCTTTGACCCTTGTGCAGCAGGTATTCCATACCTTTGATTATTCTCACTGCCTCTCTTTGAGGCTTTTCCAATTCTTTTGTATCTTTTGAGATGAATGACAAGAACAAACCACACAGAAGTCATGATGTGGGATAACCACTGATTTATACAGTTTCATAATTATGTTCTGGTTTGTCTTCTATTTCCTTCCTAATACTCCTTAATGTTTCATCTGCTTTTTGATGACTATAGAACTGACACTTTTGTGGCAACATTACATTCCTCAGCATAAAAGGGTCAGGCCATCATTCTATATATGAAATTATATGCACCAGTCTACATTCATCTACTCTGAATTACATCAGATTTATCGACACTGAATTATATCTGCCATTTTATTATCAATCCTTACTTTCCTGAATGGCTTCATATCAACAAGACACTGCTCAGCTCATTTCCCAAGTTATTTATGACCACACCAAGCACCCCAGACCCCTGTGGAAACACAGTGAACTTCTCAAGTCACACCTCATAATTCAAATAAACCTTTTAAGAAATACATATTTATAAAGTAAGTGCCCTGGTGGAAATCAGTGCCTAACTGCATGAATCTAAAGGTTTGTTAAAGCTCCAACATTAGCTTATAACAGCACTGGTTCCTTCAAGTATGCACAAATACCTGAATTTTTGTATCAGATGAGGTACACTGTTCAGATCAATGACTATTTGTTTAAAGATGAGAAACCAACCGAACTACAGCAGGGAAGTGGTTTCTGCTCCTGTTACTAACAGCTCAGCTATTTGAGAAACATCTGCCAGAAAGAGCTCAATTTCTCCACAGTAGATACCTCTTATGTTAAGAGAGATCGTTAGTTTTTGCAATGAATCATGCTCAATAATAATCAGAAGTTGATACGTACTTTTCAGTGACACTGTAGTTCAACTTACCTAAACAGACACAGAAGCTATTTAACCCACAAAACAAAAGAAATCAATCCTTAGAGACAAATACGGAAACTTTTCACATTAAAAAAAAAAAAAAGTTAGCAAAAATCAACACCAAAACAGGTCAAGAGAATCATCCTTCCTTTAGGCAGATGGAGAGATGGAATAAGACTAATTGAAAAATAGATCTACAAGAGAATGAAAAAAAAGCCCACAGAAGAAGTTAGAACATATGCTGCAGGGGGAAGAATGAAGAGAAGAAATAGACCTAAAGAAGAACTCATAAGAAAATCCCATGATCTGTCACAAAAGTGACAGAGTAGTAAATTCAAGTCAAAGCAGTGGATGAATAGAGTTGAAACAGGCCTGCTTACAAAATATCAATTTCCCCAATATTTGTTAGCAGATAATTTCAAAATATTTCTGTGCCATGAAAATGAAGGAAACAATTCTGCTGCATGACTTATGAAAAAAAAAAAAAGTGTAGTTAAGCATTGCTTGTAATGAGATCTAGTGGTTTTTTTACTTTGGCAAGCAGACAAGAGCAACATTTGTTGGCAACATTTAGCATAACTGAGTCAATGCCAAGCATGTCAAGGATCCTCTTGCAGACAGGATGGCCTACTTCAGGGACGTTTTTTAAACACATTTAATCTTGGTGCTGCCACCTTCATTTAATGAAAAAGAAACCAAAATTACTGTTAGACACATTCAGACAACATATGAACTAATTTGTACTTAAATCTAGAATCCATATTCCATTCAAGTTGTTCAACACTATTATAAAGAATTTCAATCAAAACCTTACAGAAATACTGATTATGTTTGTAAGAGTATTGCCCAAGGCATTCATGCACTCACAAATTATCCTCAGAGACACCGTCAGACCAAAGCCCTCCAAGTAACTCCATTTTCAAAAGTCCCCACTGGTCAGGTGTGGGCTCAAGATTTTAGAAAAATATACTGAATGGTGTGTCTTAACCAGATTTTGAGAGTCAGTAGAGTTAACAAATGGACTCTCATTTTCTCTTGAAGCTTTCCTAGAAGAGCACTGCAGAAACACTGATAGGAGCACAGAAAAGCCGATTCATGTAACAGATGTGCATTTGCCACATTTAAACTCTACTTCAAATTACTCTTTCCTTGAGTTGGGGGAAGAAAGAGTGAGTGGAAGAAGGAGGGTTCAGGAGTTTAAGTAATTTGGCAGAGAGTAGAAAGACTACAGAACTGGCAGCATTCACATGTCTTGCTCCCATCCACTGTGCCATAAGATAAGATTTCCTTTGTTTTCCAAAGGCCACCGCCCCTGGAAACCTCCCCTGCTTTCCCTGCCAGCTCCAGATTGGCTGGTCAGGGCACCATTTCTCAGCCACCTCTAGGAAGACATACGGCCAGAAGTGTGAAACTAAAGCGAGAGATGACCAACATCTGCAAAAAAAGGCATCTAGGAGCAGAATCTCTCTCATCCCTTTGCCTGAAGAGCGAGGAGAGGGCATGAAGGGCTTCCACTGCACCCACCCAGAAACCACACATGGAAAAATCTTCAGATCATGGTCCAAGCCCTCCTGGACACTCACGAGCTGCTCCTGAAAATTAACAGCAGGTAGGCAAGACAAGCAAGCCCACCGTGCTCCCTGCCACAGGCTGGGGAAGCTCTGGGGAGCCCTCCTCCGACACGGCGCTGGTTGTACCAACAGCGCTCAAGACCAACCGGTGATTTTCAGCGAGGTCTGTGAAAACCCAGTTTCTGGAAGCGTGGTGCTATGTGCAGCACACTAAATCTGTCCTACTAAACAGCTTCCACAATAAAACAGCCCCTCACATCCAGCCCTGCTGACACTGGTGGATGTAGTAGCAATTTCTTCCCGTGCTCTTCCCTTTCCTGGCTTTTTTCCATCATCAGTCCTTACAGACCCTTGTTAGAAAGAGCTGTCCAAAACACTTTATCTTCCTTTTACTAAAGCTATCCAAAACTAAGCATCAACTGCTTGCCTTTTTTTTTTTTTTTTTTTTTTTTTTTTTGAGTTGCATGACATTTTTCAAACACTTGATGTGCCAGATTTAGTTCCTGTCTCTAAGATCATCTTTCAAACACAGAAAAACGCTTTCTAGATGCAACAGGCTCTGCTGCATTTCCACTGGGTGGCATGGCTCTATCAGCAAAGAGGTTCTTTTGTCACTGTAACATGACTAATACCTACCAGCATAACCTCATCTACAACAAGATTTCTGCCCACATAAGTATAACTACCCAACATAGCTATACAGATAAAATGGAAGAGACCAAATCTTTGACAGCTTCTAAATGTTTTCTAAAATATGCAAATTTCTGCAGCTTCTACCTTCAGGCATCAACATTTTACAGCTGGCCTTTCCCTATCTTTAATGCCTTCTCGGCAGCCGCACTGATGCACTAACATACTGGGCAATCGTTCAGTCTGATCTGCACGTTTATTCCTTGGGAGAATAAAGACAACTGGTAAACAGACTGAAGGGAAAAAAAAAACAACAGTTGCTACACGAGATTTGGTGACCTTTCTGCCCCTTCCCATGTCTGTTCTGACTGACAAAAAAGGACAGAAATCCAAATGTTGGGCTTCAGATTTTCAGAACAGATTTAATTAAGACCGACAACCAAAATGCTGCTCTTGATAGAAGTTATCAGCTACTAGAAAAAATTATTCTTCAAAATAGAGGTCTTATCAGTTTCCAAGACCTGTAAAATATAAAGCCATAAGGAACTGTAATCTGTTCCAGTTTTCCACTCATGACAGGGCATTCAGTTTCACAGCTTCCTCCCCATCAAGACCAGACCAAATCACTTCAGATGGTCACCACATCACAAGCAGATGGTTCCAAACCCGGCAGATGTACATCACTTCTGAGATGGTTTGTTTTGTGTGTCAGCTGTGATACAAAGCCAGTGGAGAACAGCGAATCTCCACGGCCAAAGATTACTCCTGTCCACATCATCCCACCCTGTGAACCTTGCAAAAGATGTATTAGTGCAGCAGCTCAGAATAATTAACACAAATCTTCCACAGCTGCCTCTAAACTTTCATGCAAGCAATTAAGCCCATTATCACCATGTTATCCTCAGTTTTAAAGGTATGTTTTACTTCTCATTTACAGCTTTAGCTTCCAATTATCAATTCTTCTGATGTCTTCCTGAACTAGATGTAAAATCTATTTAAAGAATACCTGTGTTCTCCTCCTAATGAAGCTATATAGTCAGGAATGATTAGCTTAATTATTTTTATTTGGTTTGCATTAAATAAACATACTAACCCTGAGTGTGAATGACTATCAAACATCTTCACTACAGGGTTTCTGGCGTGTTGTTCCCCCCTCCCAATAAAAACATCAAAACTGTGTCATATTCCAACTCTAGCCTTAACGGTGACAAACAAAACCACACACCTTTCTGCTCCTTAACAGAGGCTATTTTCAAGAATAACTGCTTTTCAGGATACACTCCCACTGTGTGGATACAGCCAGCATCTGTCACATCTTGATTTGGCACTGTTAAAATGCACTTGTGTGAGCTCAAGTTTCAAGAGTATCAAAAGTGCTTTCTAGGACTAGCTTGAGATTTACCACAGATTTCTGCATCAGTCTCTGGTCTCCACAGGTCTTGGGGATGATAGTTTCAGGGTGTGTCAGTTTTATTAAAAAAAAAAAAAAAAAAAAAAAGGGAAAAAAAAAAAGCTACCTTTGTTCTTGCATCCACTGACAATAAGGTTGAACTGCATCAGATCAACAGCGTTTTCTGTAGAATTCACCTAGAAATAACCTCTCTCTCAGAGAAGCCCGTCAGATAAGCAGTGCTCTCTCCAGCGTGCCCTTTGATACCACACGCTGCTCACTTGCCCAGTCAGCCAGCTGCCTTCAGTCCACCGACATTTGCTAAAATGAATCAACTTCTCACAAACTGCGAGCAACGGCCTCGCCTGCGACCTCCTTCAGCTGGGAACCTTCCAGCCGAACGGCCGCTTTACACGCGGTCCACGCTCATTTACCCGGCCACTCACAGATTACGACCACAAACACCAGCCGCCCAAAACCGCCCCCCCCCCCCCCCCATCAGCCCGCACCGTCACCCGGAGCAAACCCGGGATCCTCCTCCGCAGACACCGGCCCCGCCGCGATCCGCCCTCCCCAGACAGCGGGGGATCCAGGTTGAGGGAGAAGGGGGGGGGGGGGCGCCCTTCTACCGGCCTCCGGTAGCTCCCCCCGCGGGGCTGAGGGGGAAGAAGCAGCTGCGGCCCAGCCGTGTGGGCCGGACCCCCCGCTGGTGTAACGGGGGGTACCCGGGGGGGGGGGGGGGGTACCGGTGGCGGGGGGGTACCGGGGAGGCGGGGGGGGTGGGGGTACCTGAGCGCGGCGCGGCGCAGGGCCAGGAGCGAGGCGGCGGCCCGCAGCACCACCGGCCACCGCGACGCCCGGGGCGGAAGCGGAAGGAGCGTCGCGTCGCGTCGCGCCGCGTCACGTCGCGTCACAGCGCGTCACACCGCCCCTCCCCTCCTCGCCCCCACCCACCCAACCACCCACCCGCTCCCTCCCTCCGCGCGCGGCTCCGCGGTCACGTGGGCGCCGCCTTCCCGCCCTCCCCGCGCGCGAGGCGGTGGCGCTGAGGGGCCGCTCCGCCTCAGCGGGCGCGGGGCCCCGCCGGGTCCGGGTTGCGTTGCCCCAAACTCCCGGTTTTCGCGCTGCAGGCCCGGGCGCGCCCGAGAAACCGGCCGGTTTCCTCACCCGGGCCTCCTCCCCCTGCGCGCCCTCGGGCCCCGGCGGTCAGGAGGGCTAAACCCACAGCGCCCTTTGCCCGCCCTGCCCTGCCAAAGCTATGACGCTAATCCTGCAAGTGCCTGCGAACGGGGATAATTCCGTTAAATTCAGCAGAAACGCGAGCAGTGTTACCGGAAAGCGGTAATTAATTCACTCTGTAAGACTCAATTTTGGAGTTTTAGAAAGCAGGCATTCTTTATTACAGCACCGGACACACAGGGGAGAGCTCCTCCAAATGTTTGTGTGTGAGAATGAAATCAACAAGTGTTTATACTACCGTAATCATACATACGCATTGCATTTTTATCATGTTCGTAACTTTTCCAGGAACTCATTTAGCATATGTTAATGTCTCTTGCGCATGTCTGTTGGAGTCTTCAGGTGGTCCTCAGGGGTCTTCAGATGAAGGCTTGTAGTCTTCACTGTGTCCGCCAGTTGACCCTTCTGCACAAACCCAGTCCTGTGGTCCCGTAGGTCTTGCCCTTCAAGGCTGGTCTGGTCTGGTTTTTTTACTAATTTGCAGCTTCTTTGTGTTTCTTTGCACCTGCCACTACAAGGCCAAACCACCTCCAGTAAGATTATGAGTTCCTTATCCTACAGTTATTCTAACTGTTCCTCAAAAGATCAGTATGTGTTCAGCACAATTGTTAAATGGTTAAAACATCTTAAATTGATCTTAATAATTCTATTCCACAAATACCTGTTTTCTAATAATCTTAGTTCACGGGTATCAACAGGCAACGCCGAGCGCACGCCGGTGGTCGTGTCCTGGGTGCTGCTGCCCAACCCCTTGCAAGCGAGCATCTATTTGCACTTTTCAAGGTCATTATTTGGCTGTTTTTGAACCAACTGGGTAAAAACACCAGCAGGAGCAGACCCCGGGCACTACGGTAGCTGCAACAGGCATGAAACCACAATATTTTTGCTGATTTATTTGCATAAATCATTACTACCCAAACTAAAAGGGTATTTTCTACAGACCCAGTCCCACGATGGCATTGTAACTCGGCTAATCTGCTCCCTCAAATTTAACCAAGTGCTGTGGGAAATTTAGGCTGACTTCACAGTTCTTTTGCAGTTCCCTTTCCGAATAGGGCGACTGCTGGGCATTCGTGTTGAAAATGGCACTTCTGGCGTGGTCTCGTTGGGAGAAATGAGACAATAAGAGTGAAATCAGCCTTCCTTCCACTGTGCACCGGGCGCAGTGGCTCAGCTCACCTTCGCTTTTCCACGCTCGAAAGGCCTCGCCGTGGGAGGTTGCAGCCCAGCCCTGGACTGCCAGTGATGACAGCAGGAATCCCCAGAACGTGGCGTTTCATCCAGAGCAATCTGGTAGTTAGAAACCTCAATTAATAAGCAAACATGCGGCGGTGATGATGTCTCACTTTAAATATCAAACAGGGACTGCGATAACACTTTTAATCAATAACCTTACCAGTCAACCTCACCAACCTTGATGTTAGGGTCACCTGATGTGTAATGAATATGCCCCTCTCCTGCAGAAAGAGTGATGAATTTTTGTACAAATATTTATTTGCATACACAGCTTTCCACTCCCTCAGGCAAATGTAGCTCTTCATCTGTGTGCATGTATATGCTGAAGGTAGTAAAAACAGCTGCAGATGCAACTTTATGTAATTCGTGTGCAATTGATCCATCTCAGTGCCAGAAATAGGACTCGAGGGGCCTAACACCAAGCTCTGGCCACATCCTATTGGAAGACATTACTTTGCACTCTAAATTATGTAATGGAAAAAAAAGTTGGGATGAAATTGCAAAATTAGAGCTTGTGTGTAGCTCTTAAGGAAGACAATGGAAGCTGTATGAAAGAAATTTGGCTCCCAATTAGTAAGAGGCATTATTTTCCATGCCTCCATTGTAGGACCTGCTATGGTATTATTTAAATTATTCAGCAAGGCTGTTTGGTACAATAATGTGAGGGCAGTTCTTTAGTGCAGGTCCACGTTGCAGGGCCTGTGCTGTTGCTCCTATGTTACAAGTATAGGCCGCTTTGTTTTTCCTTTAGCATCATATAAATATTTGGGTTGGAAAGAAGCTCTGGTCTAACCTCCGGCTCAAAACAGGGCCGACTTCGAACCTTGTCTGCTTGAGTTTTGAGTGTCTCCAAGGACGGAGATTGCACAACCTCTTTGGACATTCAGTTTAGTTCCTGAATACAGTTACTGTCGATCCTATCGTTATTCTTTGCGTCTCATCAGACTTTCCCTCGCTGCAACTTGTGACTGTTGCTCTGTGTCCTTTCACCGCATGCCCCTGCAAAGCATCTGCCTGCTCTGTGGCTCCGCTCTGCGTGGCTGGAGGCTGCAGTGAGATGCCTCCTCCCCTCTCTCCTAGCTCAGAAATGCAATTTCCACAGCCGCTCTTCATATGTCGCATGCTCTGGCCCCCCCAACCATGCCAGTGGCCCCCCTCTGAGCTCCCTCCAGTTTGTCAACATCTCTCTTGTCTTTCAGTGGCAAATTTGGGCACAATCGCCTGCCTTAGCCTTTGTTTTGGGGTAAAAGACCAACAGGCTTAAATTGTCTGATTTAGTACTTTTCAGGGACAATAACACAGATCTTGAAATATGACAAGCATCAGAGTCAAGAAACTTTATCACGCCCAGAGGGCTGTGCATGCCACAGACAATAAATTCAGAGGAACAAAACCAGTATCTTTTTTGTACCTCCTGCTTTTACATCAGCTAGTCAGAACGAGGAACCGAGACACAGTGGAGGCATCCCTTTCTTATCAAACCAGAAAATAAAAGAATTCTGTTTTATTTTTTTTTAATGGGTTTAAAATTATGGGATGGAATGTCAGTTTTAGTTAAGAAAACGCCAGTCTCTGATGATGGGCTAGAACAGAGAGATACAAGATATTAAGCTTCTGTTACAGTGTTGATTCTTGCTGGGCGATGTCACTCGGCTTTTATATTCATGCTTCACTGTGCACTGTGAACATCATGCTCTCTGAAGAATTAGCTGAGCCACCCTGAAGCTAGATTTTAAAGGATACCAGATGGTATGTTCAATGCATGTGGTAAGCTTTTATACGCTTTTCCCCTATGGCCAATCACTGACTGATCATTTATTTCAAAACCCTCATAAAATAAATCACTTTGAAAATGACACTGTCTCGAGTTAATAAGTGCTCTTTCTCAAAGCAGAGGCTTGTTGCCATGAAGATAAAATCATAAAACTGGTTCAAAGTGCATTGGGATGGCAAATGCACCCTATTGAGGAGATGAGATAAACTGGATTGAACTGGAAAGGAAGCATTGCTGTCTGCTTGTTGTGAAATTACGAGCAGGTGAACTGTCATTAGAGACACTTCAGCAGTCACTTTCTGTGAGGAGGGAATATTCTGGTTACATCTTCTTTCCACAGTGGTGGATATGTAGAGCCTCCATCATGTGTCAAGCTACTGTGCAAGTTTGTTTTCGGATTTTGGAGTAAGTGATTATGTCTGGCATCAGAAGACAGAGATCTCTTAGTTTTTCTTGTTCTCCAGTGAATAAGAAGTAGAAAATTCCTCTCTGTGTGACACCAGTGAAACCCACCTCATCATCTGCCCTCTCAGAGAGGCGCCCCACCTTCTCCCCATCCCCAAAGAGAGAACCACGGTTCCCCTGAGGGTTCCAAACCTTTATCAGTCTCCTTTCTGTCCTCCCCTTCCCTCTTCTGCCGCATGCCCAGCCCCAAACTGTGGTTCCTGGTGCGGTGTTGCAATCCTCACAGCCTCTCAGTGAGTTTTGTGACATTTGCCGTTTGGCTTACAGCCACGGCTCCGACAGGCAGATGATAATAGGAAATGATGGCCCTTCGTTCTCTGAAGGATCATGTTTTTAAGTGCTCACTGCTGTGGAGGCAAGCTGGAAAATTTCTTTTTTCAAAAGCTTGAAGAGCAAATGAAAAGACCCCTTATTTTATTTCGCTCTCATTTTGGAATTGTAAATGAAGCTCTTTTTTTGGAGAGGGAGAAAGAGTTGAGGAGTAGCTGGCTTGTGGAAGCTTTGGCCTGGTGATGAAGGCAGAGTTGATTTTCCCCATGGCCCAGATTGTCTAAACAGCTATAGACACGCACAGTCACACACACACACACACACACACACACACACACTGCCCTGGTGGAGAAATTTAAGAATAGTCACAGTGGGACAGACCAAAGGTCCCACTGGCCCCAAGGCCCGTGTGACTGTGGGCAATGGCAGATCCTTAGGAAGAGGAGAAAGACAAGGAATGTGGAATGATTGCACCGAAGGCAAGGCCAGTACTGTGTGATGGTATCATTGGTGCCAGGGGGTGCCTGCTGGTTATCTCTGCGATCCTGTGAGCCGCTCCCAGCAGGAGGAACGTGCCCAGATTGCTAAAGCTCAATTGCAGTTTTTCCTCACTTCCCTATGCTGCCATTTGTGGCTGTATCTTTGTGCCTCGTGGTTTACCTTTCTGTGCAAAGGAGTCAGGATCTGTTTGTTCATCAAGAGCTGCTTCTGTGCTCAGGTACTTCTTCCCTCTGCAAACCCTCCGAGGGCCTCTGAGATCTCCAGTTTTGATGTGTGCATTTCTATATGTGAAATTAATCGTTCGATACCAAGTTGCTCATGTCTCTATTTCAGATGTATATTGATGGTGTAGCCATACTGCTAAGGTCAATGATCCGCTGATTGGTGCCAAAGAACACATTTACAGTCAAATGGCTTGT